GGAAAAAAATAAAATGTCTCATAAGCGGCTCTTGTCAAAAAGAACTCTATGCTCTGAATCACGGAAAAGAATAAATTGTTTTTGTTCATTCTTTTGTAAATAAAAGGGAGGCTTGTTAAAACTTGTTTCTTTATGGTTTTTTCTTGCAGTTTCTGTTTTTTATTTCTTTCTCTTTATTACCTTCTTCGAAATTGCCATAGAGGAAGTTGTCTTGATGAGTTTTGCGCGCTCCTTTTTGATTGAAATTACAGAAGTGCTGCTGATTTTTACATTATAGTAATCAGCAACTAAATGATGAAACATTGGCGTAAAATTTGCAGAATTTAACTTTAATACCAAAAGTGCTAGTACCATAAGTACTTTTCGCCATAGTACTGAACCAATCAGAGTATACTTTAAATTTATCATCAAAAGTACTGATTCTTTAAACCTCCAAGTAGATATAAATTTTGCACTTTTCAGTAGCGAAAGATCCAAAAATTTAGTTCTTCTGCAGCATCTCATTAATGCTATCGTTTTATTTCATCTCTTCTTCATTTCACTTCTCTTTCTTTCATTTCTTTTTTCTTTTTCTTGTTTCATTTAATTTCTATAGCATTCATTTTCACATTCTCGAAAAAATTATAATGTATTGTTTATACGGATTTTTGTATAACACTTTTGTTATTTTGTTGCTACTGCATCAAGCATTGACCAAAATTTTGCCAAATTTATCATCAAAAGTATTGATTCTATAATCCTCTAAGTAGGTACAGATTTTTCACATTTTTAAGTAGCGAAGGTTCGCCAAAAATTTAGTTCTTCTGCTGTATCTTATTAATGCTACCGTTTCATTGTTGCATTCCCATAAAAAATTTTGTAATAAAAAAGCAACAGTTTATGTTTTGTGCTACTGATGATTAAAATATTGTTATAAAATTTACAATATAAATCATCAAAAATGCTAGTTATTTCATCCTTTAAGTTGGTACTCATCTGGCAAACTTTTCAGTAACAAAGATTCCAAAAAGGTTGTTTCATTTTTTATGACTATTTTTGTAAAAAGTAATAGATTTTATTTTGTGACACTGGTTACAAAATTGAGCTAAAATTTGTATTAATTTAACACCAAAATCAGTGGTTCGTTACTCCTTTAATTTCTTTTAGCAAGATGTCCAAAATAAGTTCCTCTGCAACCATCTTATTAATGCTGACGTTTCATTTTTACATTTTCATCAAAAATAAGAAGCTATTTTTCGTGTACAGATTTTCGTAAAACAGTAACTTCTTCACTTTTTACTACTGCTTCCTGTAATTGTTGCCAAAACGAAAAATCTACTTCCGTTTCCATTTCCATGATAAAGAAGTACACTAAAATCATATTTCCAGATATAAATCTTTTATTGCTTCTTTTAAATCCTCGGGAAATCGCAACTTCAGATCTTTCCTTCTTCAGAAAAGTTGGCAAGTAAAATACGAACAAATAAGGGTCGTAATTCTGCAGACATCATCGAACTTTCTCTGCACGATTCCATTCCAGCATCATCTGAAGACCGAATGTCAAGCACGAACTCACGAAAATTTGCCTTATTCTGCATTTATTCCATAGAACAGATTTAAGACCTTCAAAAATTATTGCATTTTCAACCTGTTATTGACAACAATCAAGATTACCTCTCTATAAAAATTCTATTTCTCTCAAAATTAAATAGAAATCTATTTACTGCAAAAAGAAACAGCAGCTGCTGTTTTATGCTACTAAAATTTGAAAGAATTAAATAGATTCGAGAGGAATAGAATTTGTCTGAAAATAAAGAAAAAAATTGTCTCTCGATTAAATTATCAATTTGGCTCTTTTATAGACATAAAAGACAAAAATAAAGCTAAACGTAATAAATAATCAGATACTGGTTTCCCTAGTTTACGACAATTTTATTATCCTAGCGCGTATACAATTCATTATATTAAACGCACACCATATCTCTTTAAGTTTCCCGTCTGGTGGTACACTTTGAAAGTGCAAGGATTTTCTCAAGATAGATTTAGTGTTTCGTTTAAGAGAATTTCTTGCACGAAAGAGAGAAGTGTTTCGCATTATATAGCGCGAGTTTTAGAATATTCCTTACACGGACCCGTTAAGCGATAAGGGTAGCCTTTAAGTCCTTTATATACATGGGTTGTACATATAGTACTCGAGAGAACAATATTACACTCTCATAAAATATGTAGTATAAAGAAAAACAACATTTTCTCCAACTACAATCATTTCATTTAAATACCAATCCATATAAAGAGTTATACTCTCAAGTTACAAATTAAAACCCGTAATAATTCATTTACAAAGCTCTTTTATAACATTCCATATCAATTGAAATGCTTCTTTGGTGAATAAAATAAATAATTTACTTCAATGCAGAAATAATTGATCCGTATAGAAGTAACGCAAAACGCAATTTCAAGGCTAGTTTATTTTACTTATTTCTTCATTTAATTAACCAAGCGTATACAATGTGACCTAGATTTATTTTTATGCGGTGTAATAATAATTTCCGTGGTTTCGTTTTGATTTATCCATGATATTGATTTAATAGCGGGAATGTTTCATTTTCTTTTTTAAATTACAATTGTAAGATTAAAAGCTAGTAAAACTTTTGTAGATCAGAATCCAGACTTCAAGATTCATGTATAAAAAATGTATAAAAATTATTCAGTACTTTTCCCCAAATTTCTTAACCAAAAATACTTCTGCATTCAATTTTTAGGATATTTCTTACAAAAGCTTTGAAAAATACAAAAAAACTTAACATTCATAAATTCTGAACATTAAGACGAACTAAATTTTTTATTGAAGTTAATATGTTCAAAAATTACTGATTGCAATAAAAAGTGTGAATAAAATTAAACATTCAAATATTTTGTGATTAATTTTTTAAGTTCTCTGAAGTTAGCGTCGACGCTAAGCGTCAAAATAATTTTTTCTCAACAAATTGAAAAGAATCAAACGATTCTTTTGAAGCTTTTAAGTTAAAAAATTGTCCTCAACATTTTTTTAACATGCGTATGACTTAATATAATTGTACCTATAATAAAATTTGAATTTGGAGAAGAAGTAATTAAATATCGATCATTTGAACTTTCAGAACTTTACTCTATTGTAACTATAATTTTTTAAATACAGGACTTAATATAATTGTAATAAAATTCGAATTTAGAGACGACATAATTAAATTTCGTTCATTTAAACTTTTAGAGCTTTACTCTAAATCTGAATTAGCATAGTTTGCTACCAGTTATAGAGTAGTCTCTAAATTGGAGTTTGGTGTAAATTGAGCCACTAATTTACATAGTAAAGAATACTGTGTAAATATTTACTATTTTTTTCAATATCTTTATATTTTGTTACTTATTTTAGAACATTTTTATTTTGAGTAACGATATTTACTAATTTTTAGTGTAATATTACTATTTTGTTTAGTACTAATTTTTCTACTGACTTTTTAGTGAAAAACAAATAATAATTCATAAAAATTCTTACTATTATTGCGAATTTGTTACTCAATTTTCACTTATTCAAATTTAAATAATTTAAACAATTAAATTTAGTAGAAAATTTCTAATTTCATAGTAGAAAAACTATTAACAGGGTGTCTACAATTTTCGTTCAACAAAATTCCCGGTTATTTCCCTATTTTTTCCCGGCTTTGTCCTAATTTTTCCCGGTTTTTTTTTCTCATCAAATTTACAGTTATTTGATTTCAAACATAAATAAATTTATAAATGGCTACCAAAATTTTTATTAGAGTTTTTATGACTAATTGAATTCTTTTGACGAGTTTCTTTAAATATTTTGAAAATAATGTTTTTTTTAATAATTTTAATTAAAAATTTGGAAAATAATTTAATTAAACAAAGAATTTTTTCAATTTTTTAAAATAATCTTGTCTGTTCATAATTATAATTGAAAATTTGATTAATTCAATTTTATTAAAATATATTGAAACTAATTGAATTTCTGCAAAGAATTTTACTATTATTATAAAAGAAATAATTAAATTGAATTGTGGAGAAAAATTTAATTATTTATAAAGATAATTGATATTTTGAGGAGAATTTAAAAAATTTATTAAACGTAATTGAATTCCTGCGAAGAATTTTATAAAAATTTATGAAAATAATTGAATTCTTGTCAAGAATTTTTTTTTTTAAATAATATTCAAAAGAATTTAGTAAATCTGAAGAATTTTGCTATTTATGGAAATAATTGAATTTTTGAGAAGAATTTTTTTACAGTTTCTAGAAATAATTGAATTCTTTCGACGAATTTTAATAAAATTTTTAAGAATAATTACATTTTACGAGGAATTCGATTATAAGTGAAATTATGCAATGAGTTTTACTATTTATGAAAATAATTTGAATATATTGCGAAGCAATTTTTTAAAAATAAAATTATAATTACGGTAACTAACTTCCCTTGATTATTTTCGAAAAATTTAAATAAAATTCTTTAAAAGAATTCAATTATTTTTAATAGTATGTAAAGAAATTTCAATTATTTGTTTATAAAAATTCAATTATCTTGAAACAATAGAATTGAAAAAGTTTAACTTATTTTTCAGAATTTTCAAAAAAACTTTGCGAAAATTTAATTTTAATAAAAAATTGTAAGTATGTGTATCTTTTTTCAAATTAACTAATTTTTAACATTTGACACAATATTATTGTAACAAAATTTAAAGATAAAAAAAGCAAAGTATTTACTTTAGGGATTTCTTTCTCTTTAAATTTTCAAAGACAAAAAAGTTACCGCATTTTTACCTAAAAAAAACTGACGGTTCTCTTTCAGACTAATTTTGATATTAAAATTACCCTAGAAATTTCTTTCGGAGTTGATTCACAAATGTTTTTGTTTAGATTATTAATTAGAATGGTAAACAAGTAGGACATTGTTATAGTAGAACAAAAATGATGTTTCTCGAGCGTTGAGAATTAATGTGTTCCAATTATTTTTTCTGCTTCAGGAATGACGTCTTCTTGGAACCGTATTTACAGCAACACGGAACTGTTCAGGTCGTTGGGTCTCCAAGTACACCGCCACCAAATCCACTACAACATCAGCTTACGCAGCTACATCATGTACAGGTATATATTGATTTTAAAAATATTCTCTCTCTCTCTCTCTCTTTTTCATTAAAAAAAAAGTCAAAGAGAATCCATTAAAATTATCCCCCATTTAAATATTTATTATTTATATACTTCATTTCCGCGATATAACGTACCATTTTATCATGTATGAGTTGCAATCTGGTACTGTATGTGCCTACCAACCCACGCTGGAATTATATATGACTCATGTGGGCAGTACTTTTACTTGCATACATTATATTAGGAAGCACGCAAAATATGGTATTACAGGTCCGCTATTTTAAAATGGTCCTTTTCAAAAATCATAATCCTCCATTCGTTCATGTTTTTATAATTTACTTTCGTCTGCTAGATTATTATTTGAAAATCCCTTTGTTGTCTAATGGAAAAAATTTGTTTCTTTCTCTTCTTGTAACAAAACAATATTTCCTTCTTCTTTTTTTTTACTGTTTCACTTTGAACTACGCTCGTGAAAATGATCCAGCAAAAGGAAATTCTTTTTTTTTCGACTGTAAAACTTGTATCTTGTTTCGAGTGAAATGTAATTTGAAATGCAGACTGATACAGGGGCAGTTTGGACTAAAGGGATTAAATGTGGACGTGAGATGAACACTGAGTACGTTCTGCTAATTGCGAATCCCATGATTACTTGTCATCAAAAGTTTACCCACTTTATTCACAATTGTAACGAAACAGAGGAAATTTTTGATCATTTTAAATAAATTCTCTCGACACTGTATACTGTTTTGATTTTAATTTGTGTTAAAATTAATTTCAACGGGAAAAAGTACCTATTGTGAAATTGAAACAAAAATAAATTGAAAATAAAATTGAAATTGAAAAATAAATTGTTAATTGTTTATTGTTAACAAAATTTTCCTTTTGCTGAAATCGTGTTCGATTTAAAAAAAAGTATTTCTGCATATTAATGAAATTTACAACTTTTCTAATGAACGAATTAGAAGAAAAACTATTTTTCTAAACAAATTTCTCTAATTTTTTACTGAAGAAATTTTATACAAATTTTTTATCAATTTTTGTAAAAAAAAAAAATCCCTGTATTCCGCTGCATCAATTTTTATGAAATTTGATATTGAAATCAAATTATGAAAATTCAAATTGTCGACTTGAATATGAAGACATTTTTAAAAACAATCAATCTCACTTCAGACGCACTACACGAGAATTTTTGGTATCGCAAATTTCAAATTAGTTACTGTTGCTTAGTTTCCTCGATTATATTCTTTTAAAAATTTTAATAAAATTTTGTCAAAATTCAATTATTTTTAAAAGAATTTGTTGAAAATTTCCTATTTTAAAACTTCTGAACATTCATATTAACAAATATTTTCTTATTATATTTAATTAATATTTTCAAAAATGGCTGACTGCAATAAAAATAAAGTGAATAAAATATTTTGAAACTTTATAAATTAATTTTTAACACCATAAAACGTTTTAACATTTATAAAAATATTTTGAAATTTTAATTATAAAATTAATTAGTATAATTAAAATTATTATTAAAAGTATAATAAAATTATTTTTTAAAATTTTCCGAATTAAATAAATTGTAATAAAATTAAATTTTAAAGAGGACAGTAATAAATTTAGTTCACTTCAACGTTAAGAATTTTAGGAACATGAAATTTCAAATGTTTTAAAATTTTTCAGTTATCTACTTGACTTTAGCAATGCAATTATCTTCAAAAAAATAAAACTGAAATATTTAAAAATTAGCTAATTAACCCCTTCGTTTTTAAAGAAATCAAAATTTAAAAATTCAAATAGGCAGCTTCAAAATTACGATCGAAAAATTTTTAATTTAACTAATTTGGGGGTTTTAAGGGTTTAATTTATTATTTTATTGGAGGGGGCGCTTTTGAAATTTTTTGAGGTCGCTGAATACGAATCTGTAGTCAAAATTTAACAATTCAAAATGGCGATCTTAAATATTGTAAATTCAAATAATCTGAGTGAATTAAAAACTTTTCGGTCGGCATTTTGAATCCACCATTTTGAATTTTTTAATTTTGCCTACAAATTCGGAATCAGCTACCCCAAAAATATACAAATATGGTAAGACCATTTTTTGTGAAAAAAAAAAAATGTTTCGATAGGTACATTTTTGACAAAAAATAATAATAATAAAAATTCTAATTGTTACGGTTTTAAAATTAAGCAATTTGAGAACCAAATTAGACATTATTCGAATTCAGGAAAAGCTTTTAATTTTACAGGTTAAAAAGTTTTAAAAAAAAATTTGAAAAAAAAAATTTTTTGCAACACTATGTTGCTGATAAAAAGGACTTACCCCGCTGCTAATAAGACTGCAAAGATGACATCTGAAACAAAATTTTATTAAAATTAGTAAATTAATGAACATCAAAAATGAAAAATTTTATTTTCAAATAAAAACATTTTTATCCAATCTTGATAAATTTGTTTCTTCTCTACCTCCACATATATATCTATACAAAAAGGAGAAAGAAAAATAAAGGATTGTTTGTTTTATATCGCGAGAAGCACATTTCGCAGCTTTATTAAAATTCGAAATGCCCACGTTTTTTTCCAGTCAGATATAAAACAAGCATAAAAGTTTGTAATCCAGAAACAAGATGCAACACAAACAGTAGAAGCACAGTTGTATAGTATATAGAAACAGAACAGAAACGTTTGTCGAAAGTCAAAGTCGTGTGAATCGTGAAGCAAGTAAATATGGAAATTCCAGCCCTTAATCCTCAATTCAAGGGGTGTAAATCCTCCCTCAGGGATACTCGGTGACAATACACTCTAATACCGCATTATATTCCCCGTAGGGTTTTACGATTGGACCACTGGGGGGTTATCTCAATTTGCAGTCCATGCGAAATTCTTGATTTAGTTTTAATGGTAGTTACCTGCACTGTATATATATATAGAGAGAGAGAGAGGAAGAGAGAATCCGCGCGCAGCTTCGAAATTTGCTTTACTTGATTTCCTTCTTTTTTTTCTGCGTGTATTTTCGTCCCATTCCGATTCACTGGACCATGAATTATTCGATTTTCACGCAACAAAGAAAGTGGATTACAGTTTACCGGTAGGATTATGTCCGAGTGTCCAGTATTGAACTTCGATTTTAAAAAAAATATAGTCTGTGCCTTGGACGCAAGTTAAAAAGGATTCCTCGTACGAAAAGTTAATTTGTTTGCGGGTCGCTGTTACTTTCAAATCGCTACTCTGTGGATTTTTTGGAAACGATGATTTTAAAAATCTGTACTCAAAAGTTACTCAGAAGTTTCTAGGTCGATAATGGTGAAATAGACAACAGAGTTTTGAAATTCAAAATGGTGTATCCAAAATGGCGGATAAATTCTTTAAAAGTAAACGGATTCATTTAAAAATCAGTACTTATTCCTTAAAGGTTTTTGAAATCTTAAAAAAAATAGATCAGATTCGCTTCAAAATTCATTACTCAGAAATTTTTTAAATCGCTAATTGCGAATCTGATAACAAATTTTTAAAATTAATTCAATATAACGAATTCTGTATTGTACAATTTTTTCAAAAATTTATTAAAGATAGAAACTAATTATTCAGAGATTCTCAGGATCTCTAATTTCAAATTCGAAAACAGATTTTCAAACATCAAAATTCGAGAATGGTGCAAAAATTTCTTGAAAAAAGATCGGATTCGCTTAAAACTCATATTATTTTCATAATTAGTTTTCAAGACCATTGATTACGAAAACAATGTTAAATTTTCAAAATTCACAATGTCGGATCCAAAATTCTTAAAAATTGATTAGATTGGCTTAAAAACTCATTTAATGCAGCGAAAATTCAATATTGCAGATTTTTTTTTAAATTTATCAGATTTTCTTGAAACTAATTCTAAACTAACTCACATGTTATCCGCGTAAAAAATTACATATTCGACAACAGAATTTTGAAATTCAAAATGTTAGATTCAAACCGGAAGACAAATTTCTTAAAAATATATCAGATTCTCTTAAAACTTGTTACAAATTCAAATAAAAAAAAATAATTTTTGATGTCCCAGGAAACATTTTTAAGTGCAACGTTCGTAATCAACGATCCCAAGAAAGCCCCGAAAAATAATAAATTTCAATTTAATCTGCCGAATTTCAAAAAGAAAAAAATATCCATTCAAAGTCGCAAAGTCGTTACAAATTAACATCTTGCTCCAAGATTTTCCTTTCGCCTCGGCAGCCAAAACGATTCGGCGAATTCATTTTGATAGATAGTGATTGATCGAAACATTTTATATAAATAAGTCTTGATCGTCGGTCAAGTTTTTTAATTCTTCCTTTTTAAAAACGATTTATCAAGATTAAGATGCTGAATCTTGGAAGATTTATCTCCGCAAACAAAAAAAAAAAGTATATTTCACTGAATACACAAAAAAAATTAATAAAAATTGTTATTTACCACAAATTTATAGAATATGAATTATTATTTACAATTACACAATTATCATTCTGTACAATTTTTTCTAAACAATAATTCTTATTTTCTTTTTTTCTTTATTTTTGGGTTAGTAATTCTCATTTTTATTAATTTACATATAATTTTAATTTTTAACCATTTTTTTTATTTAATTCATCTTTTTTCCAATTCTCCTCAAGTGCGTTGTCAATCAGAATTGCTAAAATTCCCATTGATCGATGAATCATCAAACAACGCTTTAAATTTCTATGCGTTTCATCCTCACTCAAGTTCATTAGCATAGAAATGATTTTTCCCGCACACATGCTGAATCTTCCACGTAATCATGAGAATTAATGGTCTACTACACGTCACTATTAAATTACAATTGTTCAGAAAAATTTGCATGGATATTTGATTTTTCCTTGCCTATGACAATTATTATTAAATTCTAAATCGACAATAAAAATTATACACAATAGAAATTCTATTAAATTCTTGTAAGATTTTTTATATGCAACCAGGATAAAAATTGTTTAAATTTTAAAAGATTTTAAAAATTAAAGTATTTAATATTTTTAAAAGAGGATTCAAATTAAAATTAATTAATTTTACTATATTCCAAGTATATAAGTTTCAGTAAAAAATTAGTAAACTTCACTTCGGATACAGTAAAATTTCCTTCAAAATGAGTAAAATTTACTTTTAAAAATTGTTATTTCTATAGAATAACTTTTACTATTTCAGAAGGAAAAGTTCTTCAAAAAATTTAGAAAAATTTACTTCACAAATAGTAAAATTTACTCTGCAAATAATAATTTTTAATAACAAATTACTGGAAGAAAATTTGAAAAATTTGTATATAAAAATTAACTTTGGAAAGAGTAAAATTGATTACAGGACAAAAAATCAAATTCAATAAATCCAGACCGGAAAGTTCAAGAAAAAAAGTTCAAAGTACAAAAAATCCAAAATAAAATTGTCCAAAGTCAAAAAATCAAAAATAAATAAAAACGTTCAAATTAAATCATGAAACATGTGACAAAGCCACATTTTTACTTTTGCGCTATAAAATCGGAATTATTCTCAACAATTTTGATAAAATTCTTTACAAAAATTCAATTATTTTGAAAAATAAAAAAATTCTTCACAAAAATTCAATTATTTTCATGAATAAAAAAATTTCTAGAAGAATGTAATTTATTCTATAAATTTTTTTATACAATTATTCCAAAAATTACAATTATTTTCAACAATTTTGATAAAATTCTTTACAAAAATTCAATTATTTTCAAAAATAAAAAAATTCTTTATAAAATTTCAATTATTTTTATAAATAAAAAAATCTAGAAGAATTTCAATTATTCTATAAAATTTTTAAAACAATTAGTCCATGAAATACAATTATTGTCAACAATTTTGATGAAATTCTTTACAACAATTCAATTATTTTCAAAAATAAAAAAATTCTTCACAAAATTTTAATTATTTTCATAAATAAAAAAATTTCTAGAAGAATTTTAATTATTCTATATAAAATGTTTAAAAAAAATACAATTTCATTTAAGGTAACCATTTAAATTTTTATATCTCAATTTTTTTCATTGGATTTTTAATTTTTTTGTACTTACGTTTTGACCAGGACGTAAAATCTAAAAAAATAAATCCAAAGTGAAACTATTTTTTTTACTTATTTGGAGTTTATTTACTTTGGATTTTTTGATTTGGATTTTTTTTTACTTCTTGTCTAGATACCAGTAAAATTTTTTTTTAAAATCTTTATTCCCAGAGTAAATTTTATATCATCCGAAATAAAATGTAATTAAAAAATAGTAAAATATACTTTCAACTTAGTAAACTTTATTCTAGAAATAGTAGAAGTTGACAAAAATTTCAAATAGTTTGGGTCTTTCTTTCTAAGTAGTGAAAATTATTTTATATTTAAGTATTACCTTGTTTAAAAAAAATTCTAAGTGTAAAAACTCTGAAAAAATAATATAAAAATTTTTAAGTTTCAAAAAAAAAAAAAATTTTCTAATGTTTGCAAAAGGTGGAATTTTTTTAAAAAACTAAATAATTTTTAACTTACAAAAATTTAAATTCTGAGTATAAATTATAATAATTTTAGTAAATTTAAGAAAAAGTAAAAAGGGGCGAAAATAAGTACATGATTATTTAGGTGTCTTAGGAGATTTTATTAATTTAAGGGTGTATAAAAAGAGGATTAAAAAAAGTGTATTAAAAAGAGGATTACGTAAAAAAGGGGACTAACTGTGATCCTTATAATAAATAATAATAATAATAATAATAATAATAATAATAATAATAATAATAATAATAATAATAATAATAATAATAATAATAATAATATAATAATAAAAAATAATGTAAACGCATCTCAATAAATCTTTCTCTCTCTCTCAACTTAAACTTGTTTTAACTTGTAATATTGTCCTTACGACTTTCATAAATCAAACGAATTTCCACCGAAACTGTTAATAATCCGCAAAAATCAGGTTTAAGGAGTTCATTTGAAACCTTATAAAGGATTTTTAGCGATGATACGATACTTTCCAGTTTTCGCACCTGAAGATGCAATCACAGTCTCTCTCTCTCTCTCGCTCTCTTTCTCTCTCTTTTTTTCTCAATGGTTGTCGAGATGTAAGTATAAAAGATGGTAAAAAGACCATTTCGCGGAAATTGCCATTCTTATCTGCCCTTTATGTTTCTCGTCTAGACGACCAATGGGAAAAAGAGTATGGGAAACTCGAAATTCTTTTCTCTCATATTCTTTTTTTTTCCTTTCACGCGCCTAACACGATTTGAACGAAAAGAGAATTATTTTTTGTATTTTAGTGGAAATAAAAACTTATCAGTATCGACTCTCTTTTATACGCATTCATATGCGCGTAAATGTATATATGCGCTATTAAACCTAAAAGTGCAAAATGACATTTATAACTGATAGTTTACTGAATGTACATATTTAATCGACCTTTCAGTTATGGACTCGCAATTTTTTTCCCCATTATTTATTTGACAATTCCTTATCCAAAAAAAAGAAAAATATCACTTAACATTCTCTGACAAAAAATTCAGATGTATTTTAGAATTTTTATTTAAAAAAAGGAAAGTTTATTTCAAAGAAAGAAAATTTATTTAAAATGAAGAAAATTTATTTGTAACAAATAATATGTATTTGAAACGAATAAACTTTATTTGAAGCAAATAAAAATTATTTTGGAACGAATAAAATTCTTTTAAAACGAATAAAATTTTTGTAAAAATAAATATTAATTCTAGTTTTGCTTGAAGAAAAAATTTTTACTTTTCTATGCCAAGCTGGTCAATAAAGTTCCCATTATTGCCCTAGGGCAATAATGGTCACTTTATTGACCAGCTTGGCTAAAAGGGACACCTTGGAATGCATCTGAGATGAAAATTCATTGAAAACACAGATGAAAATATAAAAAAAAATTTTTTTCTTCTAAAAGATCAAATAGAAACCTGTAATAATAGAAAAGTTCACGTAAGTTGTTAATTATTTCGATTGTTCATCAAATGAATGTAAAATTCCTTCCCCCCCTCCCAATAATTTCTTAATTCAAATGTTGTAAAATTTGTTTTCTTTTTCAATTTCAGAGCGAAGAATCTTTATCGTCAGAAGGTTCTGCAACCTCGCATGTATCTTCGGCTTCGTCGGAAGATTCGGGAAGCGAAGTGGCCTGCAACATTACTCTTATTGAAAGACTCATTCGATCTCATCCCATCTGGTTTCTCCCAGGAATTCAAAGAGCCGGTGCCTTCCACTTGTTGCAGGGAAAGGAAGAAGGGGTCAGTGTTTATTTTCACAGAAAAAACGAAATTTTTTGTTCATGATTTTCTCTATTCTCAAAAAAAAAAAAATTAGTATTTATTTTTACTATATGGAAAAAGAAATTCGTCTGGTAGACAATATTCTAGCAAAAATTGACGGACAATTTTTATGAAGCGACTTTTTTCTTCTTATATTATTTCGATTTGTTCTACTATTTTCCTTTATATTTACTTTACTAATTTTATTTGTATTTATTTTACTAGTTCTCTTTATATTTATTTTACTAATTTCATTTGCACTTATTTTCCTAATTTTATTTATTATTTCTATATTTATTTTTTTTTATATTTATTTTACTAGTTTTATTTATGTTTATTTTACTAATTTCATTTACATTTATTCCAAATCAATACATTTATTACAAATTATTTCAATAAACAAATTTCATATATTCTTTTTACTTTTTATAAAAAAATATATAAAATAAAATAAAAATAAATATATTTAAAATAAAATAATAAAAAATGTCATAATTGAATAAACTTTCATTCCAACTAATTTTTCAACTAATTTCAAGAAATATACAAGAGACGTGAATATTGAGATTACAGCAAACGAGATAATTCTATATATATTCCTTTATAGAATGAAAATGAAATTACACCGTCAAACAGTATTCAGTTTGACGGGATTAAGATTTAAATTGAATTTGTGGGATTGTAAACTTAATAGAATAAGTAGCGATAAAGGAGAGACGATTTATGATGTTAAAAAGTTCAATTCCACCCGCACACAAAGCATTTTGGAACAAGTAACTACACTGCACCTTGAGACATTTTCTATAAAATGTTCAGCAATTTGGCAAACGTTCCACCTTGCTTTAATATGCCATAAAGATACAGGAACAATCGTAAGAACTAAAATACTGGGTATTTAATTTTTGGCAAAAATCCAAGCACCCGAAATTACGACAATTCTCTCTCTCTCTCTCTCTCTCTCTCTCTCTCTCTCTCTCTCTCTCTCTCTCTCTCTCTCTCTCTCTCTCTCTCTCTCTCTCTCTCTCTCTCTCTCTCTCTCTGACAATGAGACTCCTGCGACTCTATTCAAATTCAATCTGTTAAAAATTCAAGCGCATCTTGTCAGAGAAAATTATTTTCGTATTTTTAAATAAAGTATTTTTATTAGTAATTTTATTTCTACTTACTCTAAATTTAAAATTAGTAGAACCTTTTTACTAATTTGAATCAAGTGACTGCCTTAGTGCCTTTTTGCTTTTGAGTTTGTTAAATTTCAATTATTTAAATCAAATAAATTTTTATTTTCGATAATGTTATTTAATCTGAAAATTAGAATTGTATTTTTTAATAATTTTATTAAAAATCGTATTAGAAGTAAATTTATTTTACTACTACTAAAATTTATTTTTTTACTCCCACTAAATTTAAATAAATGACACTTATGAGTCACTAATTCACAATTGTAAGAATTTTTACCAATTTTTAGTAGAATATTTCTATTTTTCTAGTGGTTACAATTTATTTTTAACTGTAAAAAATAATATTTTGCGAAGAAAATTAAAAGAAGTAGGTAATAAAAATATTTTATGTTAATTTAAATGTTCAAAACTTTAAGGACATTTTCAATTAACAATTAACAATTAACAAAACAAATTTTTCGAGTGTTAAAATATAAAAAAAATATAAAAATAAAATGAAAAATTTTAATTTAAAAAAAAATGTCTACTAATTTATGAGTAAATTTTAATCAATTCAATAACAGGCAGTCAGTTATTAGTTTCAATTAGTCAAAAGAAATTTGTTCTAATTCTTATTGAGAGATTATAAATATAACTTAAGAATCTCTCCCCCCCAAAAAAAAGAAATATCTACTAATTTGAGTACAAATTTTCTGAATAAATATATTTTGCAATAAATAAACAACTAATTCATTAAATTCAATAAATTTTGAACTAATTCTAAAGCTATCAATCAGTCACTAGTTTGAATTAATTAAAATTACGTAAAATTTGTACTAATTCAGATTGAGAGATTATAAATAAAACTTCAACAATTAAAAAAAAAATATCTCTCTCGCATTTTAGATAATTTCTCAGTATTTCAATTACTTGGAATTCAGTTCAATTATTTGTCTTAATAACCAAGTTTCGCTCAATGAAAAGAAGAAAAAAAAATAACGATCATGCGGGTTGAAAATGTATGTCAATGCCTATTAACTTGACAGAGAGTGCGAAAGAACTTGTTTCTTTATAAAACAATGCTTCTTATTGTGGGAAATCACTTACGCGAGGATAATATTACGTAAACTGATTGTCAAGGGAATGAGAAAAAAAAATCCAGGAGAATTTATATAAAACCCTTCTATTATTATTGTTTCTTTGTTTTGCACCCGACTGCATTATAGTGTCAACACAACTCCTCCTCATTCACTTTCAATTTTACTTTTCTTTTTTTCGAAACATCTAATATGCCCACATTATTTAAAATTTATTCCACTTTAAATTAGTTACCAGAAATTTCTTAATTTATTTCCGTTTCCTTTCTGTTATTATTCTTAAGTTTAACTTTTTCTTTTTCATGATACTTTTTTCAAGATCAATTTCTTTCAAAACAAACATATATTTTTTTGAATACATTTTTTCTTCAAAATGCACTGAAAAAAATGTATTTACTACTAATAAACGATTATTAGTCTGTGTCAAATAAATATTTACTGGTATCAAATAATTTTTATGTCGAGTTTATTACTAATTTAAGTCAAGGCTTCAAAATTGGTTCAAATCCTACAATTTATTTTATTTAACTCTCTAAATTTGAATTCGTAAAAATATTTACTAAAATTTGAATTTGTGACTAACTTTTTGTTTTTAAAATTTAAAATTAGTAAATTTTACTAATAAATAGTAATTTCTACCTACTAATTTATTAATATAATTTACTAATTTAAAAGCAAGAAGTCAGTTACTAATTCCAATTAGTAAACATTTTTACTAATTCAAATTTAGAGAGAAGGGAGAATTCAACAAATCATAGGAATAATTTATTTTATTAATCTTTATTATTTTTATATAAAATTGTTAAGCGAATTTTTTTTAAAGATTTCTGATTTTTATTTCAGTGAGTAATTTTTGAAAGTTGAAAATATTTATATTGAAAAAATATTTGGTTCATATGAACGTTTGAATTTATTATCCAAAATTTCTGAATGTTCAAATGAACGAAACTTATTTATTTCTTCTTCAAATTAAATTTTTATTAAAATAAATTTGTGTCACTATCAAAAAAATTTATTATAAAATTTCAAAATTTGATTTTTTATTTTTATTGGAGGCAGTAATTTTTGAAAACATTTATATTAGCAAAATATTTCCTTCATTTGAACGTTAAAAACTGGTGAATCATAATTTATTTTAACGGAAATTAAAATTGTTTCTTCTTCAAGTAAAAAATTTTTTTTACAATAATATTGAGTCATTTATTAAGGAAAAATATGATGGACAGTCAAAACAAAAGTCACAATTTTGTATTTTGAAAGAAAAGAAAAGAATTTAGTTTTCAACATTTTAAAGAATTAACGTCGGTCAAGTTCACAACGTTTATGATTCAACGATTGTAAGAAAAAAATATTTTTCACTCAGAAAACAATATTTTTTGTTGACAAAATTTAATTTTTTGAATTTGGATTATTTGGATATAATAAAAAAATAATCAATTACTTGCATCAAATAAATTTTTCTTCACTGTACACTTTTATAAACCTACATTTTTTATGTAATAATCAATTAGAAAATAATCAATTACTTGCATCAAATAAATTTTTCTTCACTGTACACTTTTATAAACCTACATTTTTTCAACAATACGTTTTTTTCAACATATTTCTTTTTCCAACCAGAATTCTAATTTTAAAAGTGAAAACTCGTGTACATATAAAGTGTGTGCATACAGTGTATTTTTTTTTGCATATATATACACACATTTTTCCACTAAGTAAGCACAAAAAGCCATCGTAATCAGCGCAGAAATGCCTACGGATGAGGTGAGGCATTGTCGGTGTATTGTTCCCTGTATTCATTGTTTTCCGGCTTCGACAATTGTTATAATCCCCAAGCAAGAGAGAGAAAGAGAGAAATGCTCCACAGTCAAAAAACAATGCTTTTCGTAATTACTCTTTCCAATCAAGAAATGAGACCACCACCACCACCCAGAAAAAAAGAGTTTGGGCCAAGTTTATTTAAAAAAACAAACAAACAAACAAACGCGAAAAACAAATGAACTCCACTATATATCGAAACAATATTGTTTATACAAAAACACTTTGAATCTTCGCAGCAAAAGTTCAATTTATCAGGGAAAAATTTCATTCACAATGCAAAAAGATCTCGAGCAAAGTTTCTGATGGGGTACTTATTTAATTAAACACACAGAATCAATTTGAAAGTTGAAAGTAATTAACAAAAGTCAATCGGTAGTTATTTTTCTTAAACAAATATTATTCAAAGTAATTAAAAAGTTACTCTTATTTTCATTATTAAACTGAAAAAAAAATTTATTTGTTTCAAATAACTGATTACTTGATTACTATCTATTAAATATTTACTTGAATCAAATAATTTTTATTCGAGTCAATCAAATATTATTTAAACTAATAATTACAGTATTTGAATCAAATACCATTTAATACTCAAATAAAAATCTACATTTTTATAAAAATTGGCCTATAATAATAATAATAATAATAATAATAATAATAATAATAATAATAATAATAATAATAATAATAATAATAATAATAATAATACACTGAAAAAAATTAATTTAATTCAAACAACCGATTACTTGACTATTATCAATTAAATATTTACTTGAATGTTGTTTGCAGTTATTACTCTTCATATTTTCAAAAATTTTAATAAAATTTCATGAAAGAATTCAATTATTTTTTTAAATAGTAAAATCTTCACAAAAATTCAATTAATTTTATAAATAGTAAAATTCTTTGCATGAATTCAATTATTTTCAAAACAATTTTGATAGAATTCCTTGAAAGAATTAAAATTTTCAAATATTAATATAAAATTCATTTATTTTCTGAAATTTTAATAAACTCTCGGAACAATTCAATTATTTTTATAAATAGTAAAATTCTTCGCAAGAATTCAATTATTTTCAATAGAATTTTAATAAAATTCTTCTTCATAAAATTCAATTGCTTTCAAAATTTTAAATTAAAATTATTAAAGAAACTCCATTAGTTTAAAAAAGATTCAAAAAAATTCTTCAAAAGAATTTAATTAAGATTTTTTAAAATTTTAATAAAATTCTTCGTGAGAATTCAGTTATTTTTCTAAATAATAAAATTCTTTGCAACAATTCGATTATTTTCAAATTTCAATACATTAATTTTAAAATTGAAAATATTTGAAAAGAAAAATTATAATAAAAAAGTTAAGAAACAAAAAAACAAACAACAACTAACTTCAAACTGCTAACAGATTATCGGAACATGTACTTTATTATTATTAATTATTATTGTTCATTTTCAATAATTTTTTTGGTAATTATTATTGAACTGAAAAAATCACGACTATTTTTAATAGACTATTTATGCTTGAATTAAACTATTTTCTAAGAGTATAAATATTTTATACAAGAATTTTTAAAAAATAATAATATTAGTAAAAAATATTAAAATTTTTGTACAAAAAATTAGCAATAAGTTATTATTGTTTAAAATTATGATTACTAATAATCATTGATATTATCAATAATTAATTTACCTATATTATTTATTTTATTTTTAAATTAATAATAATTACATTTTTAAATATTTAAAATTGCTAACAAGAAACTGTAGATAAATAATATGAAATATAAATCTGAATTTAAATTTGAAAAAATGTAATTTTGGTTTGAAAATTTTTTCCATTTTCTTTACAGAATTTCGTCGTTCGACAATCCAGTCAAAGCGACACAATGGCACTTTCCGTCAGACTTCCACCTGGAAAGGGACCTTATATCGAGCATTACCTCATTCAATCTAACAAAGGAAAACTCAGTTTAGAAACAAGTGAAAACAGATTCGACAATATCCCTTCTCTCATCGCTCACTACTCTCAATGTTGGTGAGTCATATTTTTCTATATATGAAAAAGAGAAAACTACTTTTCTTTTTATACTACTTTTTAATAAAAAATAATTCAAAATATTTTTTTAATATTTAAAATATAAAATATACTTAAAAAAGTTAAAATTTTTTAAAATTTTAACTAAAAACTAATGACTGACTTTGTTTCTAAATTATAGTTAAAATTCACCAATAAATTAATATCTAGAAAATAATTATTTTTATTTATTTTATTTCTTTTTATTTATTACTAAATTGAACTGATTAAAAAACAAAAAAGCAATCACTATACATCAAATCAGCACCAATTGTGGCTAATTAAAAATTTTGAGGCTAACAATTTAAATTGATTTAAATAGAATTAACAGAATTTAAATAGAAATAATAATTTCAATGAATGATTCTAATTTGAATTGTTTGGTAAGCAGTGACGAATTACCAGTTCAATTGACACTTCCAAGAGCAATGAGGGAGGCAAAAAATCGACAACAACTCTCGTCACTTGCTTTATTAGGACAGGAATTTTGGAGGTATCCAATGGCAAATCCAAAACCTCCAGAAAGTGGAAGCAGTAATACTTCGAGTTTGAGCAGTTTTCATTGCGGTATGTTTCAATTTTTCATAATTATTCATTATAAAATGAAAAATTGCGTCAATTGAAATACTAATTGCATTAATATTAAGTTAGTGAAATTTGACTTTTCATTTTATAATTTATTTATATTACTATTGATCAACACACAAAACAACAACAACACAAATTGTAAAATTTCAATTCAGTTTATTAATTTTTTGTTTTATATTGAAAATTATATTTTTCTTCCTCTAAATTTAAATTAGTGAAAATTGAATCACTAATTAACAATATAATCAGAATTTTTATTAATTTTTAGTAATTTCTCTCACTAAAAATTTAGAAAAAAAATTAGAACAGTAAAATAAAATATTATTTTACTAAAAATTAGTGAATTTTCTTACTACTGCTAATTAGTGCTTTAATTTTCACTAATTTAGATTTAGATAGCTAATAATTAATTTTCTCAGCTTAAGTATTTTTACTAAAAACTATTTTTGTACTAATACCTAATAATTTTCTTTACTTAGTTACTTCACTAATATTTATTTTTGTACTAATGATTAATTTTCTGTACTCAGTTACAATTTTACTAATATATTTTACTTTTGTACTGAAAAATAATTTTCTTTACAGTTAATTATTTATTAACAATTAATTTCTTTTACTAATAATTAGTTTTTTTAGTAATTAATAAAACAAAAAGTTAGCTGAGATTTAACTAAAATATTTTTAACTACTTTAAATTTAGAAATTATATTACATTATTTATTACAAAATTTATTATATTCATTATACAAGTTTTAACCATTGACTAATATTTTTAGGCAACAATAACAACATTATCTCAACTCCCACGTCTGAAAGTATTATACTCAATTTAGCTCCTATTTCTTCTCACGATACAGGTGATTATAAATCAAAACTTATAAAAATCGTTTACATTAAGTTAATAAAAATTTATCATAATTAAATAATTCATTAAAATCAGGTTTCGCACTCATCTAAGTACTAAAACCTAATATTTACGATTTAAAATTTTTAATAAAATTCTTCGAAAGAATTTCAATTATTTTAATACAATTTTAAATGAATTTCTCAATAAATACAATTATTTTCTGATTTTTGTTGCAATTATTCTTAAAAATTTGATAAAAATTCTTCAAAAAGTTCAAATTCCGTTAAAATTGTTAAATAATAATTAAACAAATAAATTATTCTCGAAAATTTTAATAAAATTCTTCCCAGAAATTGAATTTTTTTACCTACAAAAAATAAAATTGTTCAAATAAATTCAGTTATTCAAAAAAATTCTTATAAAATTCGTTGGATAAATTGAATTATTTTCATAAGTAATAAAATTCTTCACAAGATTTGAATTATTTTTAATAGATACAATTTTAAATGAATTTCTCAAAAAATCCAATTATTTAAAAATGTTATTAAAATTCTTCGAAAGAATTCAATTATTTTCAAAAAGTTTGGTAAAATTATTTTTTAAGAATTCAATTTTAAAAAATAAATAATTGAATTCTCGTATGAACTTTTTAATAAGAAAATTATAAGACCCGTTTATAATAAATGAAATGAAATGAAATGAAAAATTGATTTAAAAATTAATTTTAATTAAAATTTTATACAATAATTAAATATTAAAAATAAATATTGAAGTATTAAAAATTTATATTATAGGCACCTTGAATTTTTGGAAGTAATTAAATTAAATATTATTTTTAAATTCAATCGTATTTTTGAAGAATTCTATCCAAAAATTTGGAAAAAAATTGAAATTTACAAAAATTTATAAATTTATAATTGAAGTTACTACATGAATAAGAAAAAAGAAATATTTTTCATGAGAATCAGGAAAATATAGACTAAAATTTTTATGATTTTCGTAAATTAACTAAAACGAGTTTTTCGTCGCCAAATTTAATTTTTCGATAGATACACTGTTAGAAATTTCTGTAATTTTACAGCAACTTTACAGTACAAACATATTGTGAATTTACAGTTTTTGCTGTAATAACACATAAATGTAGTAAATTCACAAAAATGTTGTAATTTTTACAGTAAAACCTTACAAATACAGCAAAATTTCATTGTATTTGAATAATTCACAGCAAAAAAAATTGTACTTTTTATTTACAGTAAATTGTTTGCGAAATCACAGTATAAAACTCAAAGAATTTTACAGATATTCATTTTGTGATTTTAGCTGAGGTTTTTTACATTATAACTATAGCATTGACTGAATTTTAACCTTAAGAATATGATTTTAAGTCCTAAAAGTATAGCTGAATCATTTTTTAAGCTTAAAAATAGTTTCAATAAAAACTATTTTTTAATTATATTGCATTTTAGTATTAGTGAATAATTTTGGACTGAAAAGAAGAATAGAGTATGGTACACATGTTTCTTATATTTGATACTGTAACAAATTTAGTTTATTTTTATTTTTTGTCTTATGCAAAATTTTAATTTAACTTTACTTTAGTTCGGAGATGTATAATTTTAATAAATATAACATTAATTTTTATAATTTGACAAAAAGATAATATTTTATTTCTTATTAATTTGCGATTATTACATTAAATTAATTCATTTTTAACTGTCGATCGAAGAAAAGTCATTCAACATTCATATAATAAATAATTTGATTATTATAATGACTATTTCGCGTCGGGACAATATATACATAATACTTTGCAAGAGACTTTCATAGCCTCCCTTGGTCGAGCGCGTCTAGGCGCAGCTCCCAAGGTTGATGGCTCCATACAAGATAGACAACACTATATACGACTAAGGGTTCCAATCGTGGCGTCGCATTTCCGTAATAATGATAATAAAATGCTAATAAAACTTTTTTTTTAGTTAATTTACTTTTATTATAACATATCAGAAAACAATATAAACAGTTTTGATTTTTTATGTAAATATTCAAATGATAGAATTTCCGAATTAATAGTAGGGAATATTTTCGAAATACATGGTATACTGTAAATTTACAGCACTTTAGTGAAGTAAAATTACAATATTATTTTGATGGATAATTGTTTCTTGTACTTTTGCTGTAAAATCACAACAGAATTTTCTAACAGTGTACTTTTTTATTACTTTTTTCAGTCTTCAAGTTACTTTTTTTAAAATTTATTATCGAGTGCGAAGCCTGTAAAATTAACCATGATCAGTTCAAAGTTAAAAAAAGTCGAATTTAAGGAAACTTTTTTTTAATTTAAAAGTTGCTTGAATTAATTAATAATTTTCAACTCTTTAAATTTGAATTTGTGAAAAGTCGTCCACTTATTGAAATTAGTGAAAATTTCCTTTAATTTTCACTAAAATTTTACTATACTATTTAAAAATGTTATAATTTGTTCTTAAGTTCCAGTAAAAATTTCCATTAATTTAAATTTGTGGGCGTTTTTTCACTGCTTCAGATTTAGAGCGAAGATATCAAAAATATTCTTAAAAATTGCAAAATTTGATTCTAATTTCTTATTTCAGGAGGCTCATCACCAACGAGTACAGTGACAACGTCAACATTCGCCTCATCACCGCCACGTCAACCGAGGCCAACACCGCCAAACACTTTAAACCTAACGACCTTTAATGAACCATTCGATACCAAAAAAGATAGGCTCGAGAAACTTTCCCCAAGTGAAAAGCTATCTCAAAAGCTTATTTCGCCCAATTTGGTTCAAAGTGTACGCTGCCCCTCGCCTGTGATTCATAACGTAGAGAATAATGTTCTTAGTCCCATGGAATCGAGTACACTTAATGGAAAAACAAAAAGCGTCGAAATACAAACGTGTAAAACAATAAATTCCGAATTCACGAGAATCAATAAATTCTCCATTAATTCAGCATCGTCAAATTTCCATCAGAATTTAGCGAATTTCAATAATCTCTCGAGTACAACAAATTCGCCCATCCTACCGGAAATGAATAAAAATTTAATGGACAACAATCAGAGTTCGACACAGATTATTAAATCGCCACCACCACCACCGCCAAGATGGGCGAAGCCAGGGATCAGTCAAAGTCAAGGTAATTTCACGGTCACGACAACAGTGACCTTCAACGTCAATCAGAATAATGATGTCTCCTCATCGCAGGTAATTTTTCACTATCAATAAAATATAATAAAAATTCTAAAGTATATGGAAGAGAGAAAAAAATAGTCATTTTTTTTTAAAGAAAATAAATTTTAATTGAATAATTTCTTCGAAATAAATTGCCTAATTTCGAATCGAAAAAAAATAGAATAGAAATAGAATAGAAATAATTGGTTGATTTCTTCAAGTTGAAGCTAGTCACTTGAATAAATTGGCTTTTTTCTCTCTCTTCTTCTAAAATTTATTTTCGAAAAAATAATATATAAACTCTATTTTTAATTTTTATTTTAAATTTATTTATTTTTTATGTATAGTTTTTTATTTATTTATTTTTTTTGTTTAGTCATGTTGTTTATTGCATTATTTTTAAAAACTCCCCAAAAATTAAATAATTTAGTTTTCAAAAAGTTTACTAAAAGCCACTTGTCACAATGTTATTTGTTTTATTATTTTACAATTTGAATATTTTTTACCTCTCTAATTTTTTATAGAACGCTAAATAACAATAATAAAATAGAATGTGCATAAATCTTGTCATATTTGACATTTTTCATTCTCTACATTCACTGAAGAAAACAATCAAGAATTTATAATTATTTATTTACCAAAAAATAATAAATAATTAAATAAATACCTAATTAAATAAATTAAAAAAATCTTATCATCAGCTACAAAACAAATATCAAAATTTTATATTTATGTAATTTCTTCCTCAAAATAAATTTCTTTTTTCTTCCTCGAAATAAATATTTTTAAAAAATTTTCATTTAACTAAATAATTCAATTAAATTGTGTATAATATTTTCTAAATATTTTATTTTATTTAAAAAAAAAATAAAACATACTTTTCTTGTATCAAAAGTTTCATAATATTTTCAACAACATTTTTTTCCAGAGGATTTTGCAACATTTACGACTTCTTTATGTATGAAATTTTTTTTACAAGAATAAATATAAAAAAATACGAATTAATAAATTTGGCATAAGTATTTTTATTACAGTTTAGCAGATTCAGAAAAAAAATTCTTATAAATGATGAAAATTTATTGATTTTGCGTCTACTTCAATTTAATTTTAATATATTGTTATTTAGCACTATGTAAAAAATTACACAAGATAAAATAAATATTTACTATTTATATTAGTGAAAAAAATTTTATTTCATTCGAATAACCAATTACTTCTCAATTTTCAAATAAATATTTACTTGAATCAAATAATTTTTATTTAAATCAAATAAATTGTATCTCATAATAGTCAAGTAAACAGTGATTTGAATCAAATAATTTTTTTTTTCAGTGCAATAAACATATTTTGTTTACAACAGCGAATTAAAAATTTTAAATATTATATTTATTTTGGATAAAAATATCGTCGTTCATTTGAACGTTCGAAACTTTGAGGATATGTGTTGAAATTAATTTATTTGATAAATAAACCGACATTTATATGATCTCAGTTTAAAAAATAGTCATGTTATTTTTCACAAAAAAAATTAATTTTCTCCACTTGATAATGCCAAGATCGCCACTAGATGGCGAGGAAGCTGATTTTATCAACTGAACTGACATCTAGCGGTGACTTTGGCGTTCGCAGGTGGAGAGTAACATCTCCATATTGAATCTCAAAATGTTCGTCAATATTCGTAATTCTATAATTATTTATAATCTAATATAGAAAGTTTGACAAATACTATAAACGGATTTCAATTTTTTATTAACTTTCCTTTTCGATATTTTTATCCTCTTCCAGTTTTTTAGAGTCTTAGAATTAATTTCTTCGCTAAATAAATAATTGATATTTAAAATCTCAGTTTAAGAAATAGTTTTTAGTGGTTTTTTTTAACGAAATAAGTGTCAGTAGTAACAAATTTATAAAAATAATAGTTAAATAGTTGTACGAGGTGAAAAAAGTGTCAAAAAGTTATCAATAATCGCGTAACTTTGAGGCCTGTAATTGCTAAAAACTTTGAATAATTTTCCAACATTATTTATTTGAAAAATTAAAAAAAAAAATTAATTGCTAATTAATTAATTTAATGATAACTAAACAAAATTCGTAAATAAATAAGTAACTAATTTCTTTCGTTTCTTCAAACAGCAAAACACACCATCGGATCCAAATTCATCTCTACTGTCACCACAAAGTGGAACATCGACAAAATCCCTATCATCGAATCTCTCATCAAAATCTGCATTATCACCAACAACACCAGTTCTATCACCCGCATCAAAACTAGTCTCATCGAAAGCGCCAAGCATCCTGTCGCCAACAACACCCTCGGGTACAAATAAATCGAAACGACGAAGGGATCGTGACGCGAGAAAAAATTCTCAACACTATCAGGAATCGGATATTCTCGAATCATATTACAGAAGTTCACCGGGCGACAAAATATCCGACTATGAGGACATTTGGAATACGACAGATCAATCGAATCATTCCACATGGTGTCCCAATGAAAGACTAATTGTACCACAACCACAACAATCACTAGTTTCCTCCACGAGAATCGTTGACTCTCAAATTGATCGTCTCAAGAATTCGAATGATCGCTTAGTAACAACAAACGAGAGAGTCATTACACCTGGGGAGAAATGTTGTAATGAAAGACTAGCACCGGTTAATAATGATCAGCTTCTACCACGAAATGAAAGGCTTGTGATTCGTAATGATAAATCCGTGGGAAATGAAAAGCTGAGTTATAAGGAAGTTACTAGTCCCGAGTTTACTAGTTTCAAACCAATTTTAGAAGCCAAGAGTCCAGACAGTGGATCATTGGAGGAGGCGGTAATTGGAAAGAAACCAGATCTTCTTTCGAGAGTTTGTAAGTGTATTCATATAAAGTACGGGGGATTTTACACTTTTTACACGAGATTATTGCAACAAGAAAAAATAAAAAAATGCACTTGACTACACGAATCAATTTTCCCACAATTCGAAATCATCCGCATAAGTACTAATACTCCTAAAGTCTAAAAAAATTAAAATGAATTTTTCCAAAGTTTTTAATGTTTAAATGAGCGAATATTTTTCAGCTACATTTAAATATTTACAAAAATTACTATACAATAAAATCAAAAATAAAATAACTTAAACACTTACAAAGAGGAATTAGTTAGGTCCCTGAAGTTAGCGTCGACGCTTAGGTTCGAAAACAAATTTTTTCCACGAAATCGAAAAAAAATAAAACAATTGTTTCGAAGGTTTTTGGTTAAAAAAGTGTCTTGGTGGTTTTTAAATCTCAAATTGAATGAAAGAAGTGAAATTAGTGACATTATTATCACTAAAAACCCCAAATAATAGTTTTTAACGCTGAGTGACAACGCTAACTTCATTGACAATTTCTAAATTAGCAAATATATTTTTTTTTCTAATAAAATTCAGTTTTGGTTTTAAATACAAAAAAAAATGTCCTTCATTTGAATGTTCAAATCCTAATTGACATTCAAATGAACAAAAATAGTTTTATTTTATTTAATTTGTATTTTATTACAAAAATTATTCTGTAAATTAGAAAAATTAATTATTAACTAAGAAATCAATTATTTCAAATGAAAGAAATTTAAAAAAAAAATTTTTTTTTTAAATTTATATACAGAAAAGAATAATAATTAAAGTTAACATTAAATATTCAAGTTCTTACTTAGTGTTTAATTTATAATTAATAATTAATAATTAATTACCTAATTTTTTATATACCTACATAATAATTTTTGAATAAAAAAATACAAATTAAAAGAAGTAAAAGAATATCTCCGCTTATTTCAACGTTTGAAACTTTAGAAACATTATTTTTTATTGATATAAATATTTTCAAAAATTATCGATTGCAATAAAAAGCAAAAATAAAAATGTTCTAAAAATTTTGAATGTTCAAATGAACGAAATATTTATACGATATAAATACTTTCAAAAATTCTCGATTTTTTTAGAAACAATTTTTTTATAAATATTTTCAAAAAATATTTTGAAATACGTGATGCAATAATATTATTATAAGAAAAAATAAATAAATAATAGAATTTGAATGAAATCTAATTAAATAAATATTAAAAACTAATAAATTTTGTTCAAAATTTTTAAAGACGTAATAATAAAATTAAACATTTAAAAACTTTATAAATAACTTTTTAAATATGCAACTTAATTATTGTAATAAAATTTAATTTTTAAGAAGAAATAATAAAATTTCGTTTATTTGAACGTTCAGAAATTTATGGACATAATTCAAACTTAGTTGATTAGTTTTCGAATTTAAAAATTTAATGTCCCTTTTTATATTTCGTTCAGATTTTAATTTTATTATGAAAAATGTTTTCGTTTCTTAATTAAACTTTTAATATTAAAAAATTAATCTTTAACTAAGAAAATATTTAATTTATTTCTAGATATATTTAAATAAAAAAAGTTTTCCTACATTTGTTATTAAATTTAGTTAATTAAAAAATACTGAAACAAACGAAATTTTTTTATCCAATAAATAAAACAAATTTAGTTAATTAAAAAATACTGAAACGAATGAAATTTTTTTATCCATTAAATGAAAAGTAAATTGAAGGCAAAACTTTTCAACTAAATTGAATTGAAATTTTTAATTTAATTTTTAAATAATTCTTTTACTTTGACTTTCATTATCAATTCCATTTTCACTTCCACTTTAATTGATTTTTTTCACCTTCATTTTCACTTGCATAGTTTTTTATTTTCACTGTCACTTTCATAGATTATTATTTTTTCTTTCACTTTCATTTTCACTTTCAGCTTGATAAATTTTAATTTTCACTTTCACTTTGAGAGTGAGAGTTGATAATTATCTTTCAAAGTAAAAGTGTAATTAAAAATCTATCAAAGTGGAAATGAAAGTGAAAATAAGAATCTATAAAAATGAAAATAAAAAGAAAAATTAAATCTTGTCAAAGTGAAAATGAAAGTAAAAATAAAATTTTATAAAAGGAAAATAAAAATTCAAAAAAAATTTGTGGGTCTAAGAAAATAATGAAAGTTGTGAATTAAAAAAACCCATATAACAAAATACATAAAGTTTTTTTAAAAAATGTAACTCAAAATTAAATTTTTTAAAATCATATTAAAACTAAATTCAAAAAATTTAATTTAACGAATTGTAATCTCACATTCTGCAACAAAATTCTGTTTTATGAGCTAAAAAAACAGAGAATCTAAATAGAAGTCGCACTTTTTTACACCAGAAAAGTGGTATTTTGTTGCAATATGTGCGGGAAGAAGTGTGGAAAAAGTCGCATTTTATAAAAATAAATCAAGAAAAGATTCCAAAAATTAGCAGAAAAAAACTGATCTAAAAATAATTCTTTTTCAAGCAAAATGTTGGGAAAAATTCTATCAAACAAAAAACCGCAACTAATTTTTAACATTCATCCGCCGCTGAAAGAAGCAGCTCATAAAAAATTTTAATTCCTTCTAACTTTTGAAACAATTATTTTGCAGGTAGCGCAAATTCGCTCAATAGTCCAAATTCAATAACACCGCCGAGGAATAAATTAGGTTTGGTTTTGGCAAAATCAGAGAGCAATAGTCCCTTGACACCGGAATCAAAACACGGCAGTCCATTTTACGCTGAGCCAGCCGATGCCATAACGCAAAATGTAATTATCGTGCCGAGGAGGCGTGCAAAAAATAATCCTGCAACGAACAAATTTCGCCACAGTGAACCGGGATGGCTGCAAACACCATTGGGAATTAATGCGAATCAACTGCATCCAATCGATTGGGAGGAGAATGAAGAAACAGAAGACAAAACGCCACTTATATCATCCTCAGTCGATAATCTCGCAAAACGTTTGGGAACGAGGGAAATAAAAAAATTGCCCACGGCAAAACCCGTTCAGCCGCCGAAAATTAAGACCAAACTTTTTACCGACACATCGTGGACCGTGGATTCCAGTTGGGAATTTATTGGTAATAAAAAAGTGTCTTAATATTCTTGAATATTCGTATAAGAAAAACATATTTTACAAATTTCTAACAATAATCCAATTTTTACAATTTTATTTTTAGAACTTCTAAAATCTATAGAATTTCTATAACATTTATTATTTTTACTATTTAAAATTTTCAATATTTAGTATTTTCAATATTCGAAATTTTTAATTTTTAGTATTTTTAATATTCAGTATTTTGAATATTTAGTATTTTCGATAATTAGAATTTTTAATAATTGGAATTTTCAATATTCCTGCGAACGCCAAGGTCACCGCTAGATAGCAGTTCAGTTGTTAAAATCATCTTCCTCGCCACCTAGTGGCGATCTCGGCGTTCTCAAGTGGAGAAATTAAATTTTGTTTAGTAAAAAAAAAATGTTTCGTTTTGAAAAAAGTGTCAAAAGAGCAGCTTTTTTATTTCCTATGTGAAAAGTTTTTATCCAAAATGAATATATTTAAAATTTTAAATTCGATGTCCATGGTCTGTATTTTGAATATTTAGTATTTTTAGTAATTAAAATTGTTAATACATATTCAAATTTCGCAAAATCTATCACTGAAAAATACTAAATTAAAAAAATTACATCTCTTGGAAGACAATAAAAAATTTCACGTAAATTGGAATAAATTTTTCTTGTACTGTGATTGCAGGAAACGATGCGGAGGAACATGAACCTGATTACGATTGTGATGCGAATTACTGTGTTGAGAACGTGGCAGGAAAGTTCCCGGATGAAGAAAGTGATAAATGTGTCGTTGGCAACACCTTAACTGTTCAGAGTATCATTCTTCAGCGGTAGGTATCAAGAAATGTTTGCAAACCAATTTATTATCTTTTTATACTTTTCTTAAAAAAAAAAAGAAAAAAAATCAATTTCCTATCACTTCAGAGAAATCTGCAGATATTTTTTTATTTGATACATATATAAATTTTTTAATATCCCACACACAAAACAATTAAATTCCAATTATCCACTCGGTTTATAGACCGAGCGAAGTAACTAGATCCCAAATGGAAAAACAAGAGAATTTCCTGTTTATAATGATATGAATTTGTTTTTCAATTAATTATTCATTTGAATTAATTTGATATTTAATTAATATATTTAGTTAAAAAACAAATAAAAAAAAGAAAAAAATGGTAAACAAATAAAATAAAAATCCAGACACCAAAAATTAAAAAAATTAATTAACTAAAAAATAATCCGATTAAATCAATCTCTCCTGCCTTTCTAATATTTTTTGAGTTAGTAAAATCAACACAGAGAGAGTAATCTCGAGTATAAAAAAACTAACAACAATGAAATTCCAATTTTGCAGGTACCCTGAATTGATGAAACCACCGGATACAACGGAATCTGTTTACAGTGATAGGAATTCATCTTACGACAATGTTGAGAAAAGAAATGAGAAGAACGGTACAATCGAATCGAAAAGGGATCACATTTACGATCCTTCCGAGTGGGAAACATTGTTGGACACAGACGAGAGTGATGTGGAAAGAATCAAAAGAAATAAAAGTTTCAAAGAACGTTTGGATCCCCTTTTATGTAAGTCAACAATTTTTCTAGTACCTTCTTTTCATTGGAAAAAAAAGAAAAGAAAATAAAAATTTATCACTCAATAAAAAGCAGATAATTTTCAACCAGGAAATTAATCGACAAAATTTTCATATTTTGCTTTATCATTCCAATCAAAATTTACTTCAATGTCAAATATAATTCAATCAATAAAAGAAAAATTCAATCTAGATTTAGATTAAAAAGGAAAGAATTAGAAATTTCTAAAATCAAATCATTTTTCTTATTTAAACATAATTTTTACTTTAATATTTAATTATTTATTACTTTAAAATTCATTTTATTTATTAGAAATTAATTTACTAAAAATATTTTCAATTTATTTTCAATAGATTAAAAAAATATCTTCAATAAATGAAAATTAAAAAAGAAGGTTAAAAAAATAGACTATTATATCAATTGCGTAACAATTGCTCGTGGTAAATAATTTTTTTTTCCCTACTTTTTTTATTTTCATTATCAAATACCGTCTAAATTGAATATTTACCGTCCATCAAAAGGAACAAACAAATGATAAAAAATCAAACTGAATTAGCTTGGCGATATCTTTATTATCTCTTTAAAGGATAAAAAAGACTGCAAAATCACGCACCTCGGAAGGTTGAAGAAAAAAAAAATTCAACATCAGTGTCAATAAAGCACTCATGTTTAACACGTGTTTAAAGAGAGCGTAGAAGAATCAACAAAGAGAAGCAGAAGCAATAATTAAAGACTTATAAACCGACAAAGGAAGCGTGTGATGATTAATCTCTCTGGCGCGTTTAATTTGATCTACTTTCTAATCGAACAAGAACATAATAATTAAAAAAGACAAAATGAATAAAAAAAAAATCTCCCTTTTTTTCAGCATAATAATCTTCATTAGCACTTCCTATTAAAAAAGGGAAAAATTTAAGATATAAGTGAAAAAATCACGATGGGAAACCTGATTAGGAAGTATTAATCATGAAAAGAATATATTATTATTATGAAAACACTGATAAATGTAAATAAGGTCAATAATAATGGTAGATCGAGAAATTTTTGAACTAATGCCCCTGGCCGTTTTCTCTTTGGCATGCGTGCAGTAATAAAATTGCTTAATCGAGATATAACAATATGTATTTCTGTGTTGTATGTATATACAGAAAATATGTAAATGTAAATTATTTTACACACAGTTCACTCGTGCATTGATCTCTTCCAATCACAGTTGTCGTTTGCAACGCAAAAGAGTCGACGTTCTGATTTGCATTTGCTTTTTCACTATAATATACACACATATATATAACTATTTGAAATTTAAATCTATTTCAGATTTTAATCAATATAGAAATTTTATCTTTTGAAGCTGAGATAATAATGAGTTTTTTTCCTCTGCACACCCAGAGAAAAATTTTATTTAAACCAAATATAATTTATTTGAGTTAAATAAACGTATATTTTTCTCAGAGCCAAATTTTATTTGTTTTAATTAAAAATTTTATTTCACATAAATAAAACCTTTATTTGAACCAAATAAAAAGTTTAGTTAGCTTTGAGTCAAATATATCTTTCTTCTGGTTGTACATTTGTCACAATTTTCTTGTTCTTTTTAAATAAAAATAAAATACAGTATTTTAAAATTTTGTAAATGTTCAAAATTAATGTAGGAAATTATAAAAAAATTTCAAAATTAAAAAAAGTTTCAAAAAGTTTTTTCAAAAGTTCAAAATTAGTTATAAAAATAAATAAATTTTGATCAACACACAGAGAAAAGTTTTATTTAAACTAAATATAATTTATTTAGGTTGAATAAAAGTACATTTGCCTCAGAGAATACTAAATTATTTATTTCTTTTAAATAAAAATTGTATTCGACATAAATAAAATTTCTTTAAAACAAAAAAAAAAGTCTCGTTGACTCTGAGTAAACTATATCTTCTTTCTGGGTGAGGAAATCAGTTAGCGACTCAAATAGACGCTAGCAAAAAGTTTATAAATGTTTATAAACAATGATTTATAGGAGAGAATAAGAAGAAAATTTTCAAAAGTTGATAAATTTATTTTCCAAAAGAGTGGAGATAAGAGCAGATTTAATTATTAATTAAGCAGCAATCATCAAACAAGTTATTAATTAAATAGTAATAATTAAACAATTATTACTTCATTAAGTAATTAATTAATAATGAATAGTAATTAATTAATAATATAATTAATAACGAGTAGTAATTAATTAATAATATAATTAATTAACAACAAATAGTAATTAATTAAATAATTAATCGACAACTAGTAAAATTAACTAAAAAATTAATTAAATCCATAGGACTTTATAAATCGATCTATCATTGTTGAATTCAAGAAAAAGAATTTTATTAACAAAGAATTTTCAATTTAAAAACATCTGTACTTAACCAAGATGATTTATTATAATTGTCATTTTTTTTTTTGCTTGAAAAAATTACCAAACACCTTTAAATCCCCTAATTATAATAAACTTTAATTAAAAAACAAAGCATCTTCAATCCAAAAAACATTTGAATATAAATAATTTATTACAATTACTTTTGACTTAAAATGATTAAAATTAATTTCAATTAACAGTTAATTATATCTATAAAAAATGGTATTTATTAAAATTTCTAGAAATAACAATTTACCCCGATTTAACATCAACTTTTAAAAACTTAAGCCTCAAAAAATATTTTTCTAAAATTTAATTTTAGTCCAGAAAAAATGTTTTTCTAAAATTTAATTCTAGTAAAAAAAAAGTTTAATTCAATCAACAATATTATTTTAATATTTAATTATTTTTTCTAACAATTTGTTACTTTTTCTTAACTAGAATTATTACTACTATTATTGTTATTGTTATTATTTTGTAATTATTTTTATTTACATTCTTGAAAAATCGTAACTGCGTTCAAGATTTTATTTTATTTGGTTTCATTTTGATTAATTTAATTTTAGCTTGATTAACAAAGTCAGTCGCAGTCAAATTGTAAGTCTAATAATTCAAAGAAAAAGTAAAATTAAAATTATACAATTTATTATTGCACTCCAGAATTAGAAAATTTCGAAAAAATTTCCAGAACTTGCCAATCAAACATGAATAACTTTTCAAAAACTGAAGTATCGAATTTTTTTAAAAATATTTCTATTATCTTATTGGAATTTTGTTAAAAAATTTATTTCTTAAAATTCAACAGACAAAGTACAATTAAAAAAAGAGATTATAATTATAAAATAAAGTATATTAAATTCCAAAATGAATTTTATCTTATCGTCTTTATCTTTAAATATTTAGTTGCTACTCGAAAAGTTAATAAAAAGGAATCATGTTTTTTAGAAATAGATTCGAGAAAAATAAAAACAATTTTTGCACTGAATTTTCACATTTGATAAAATAGAATACTAATTAGTTCATATAATTGATGTTTAATAGTGAAAGTCAAGTATTAAGTCATTAGCCATTTTGAGAGGAAATACATGTAAGCGTTAACTAGAAAAACCTATTAAAACCTAACTAAGCTAATTAAGCTAATTGTTACCCTTCGTTTCGAAAATTTACACATTTTGTTACTTTTACGCCAAAAGTGGTATCTTATTTTTACCATTAATAGTAGTAGTAGTAGTAGTAGTATTGATTATAATGACTGAAATATGCAATTATATGATAATATCAATAAGAAAAATTTAATACAATAATTCTTTTTATAAATATTATTATTAAATAATATTTTTGTTATTTTTTTAATATTATTATTACTAATACTATTACTATTTCTACTGCTATTATTATTATTATTTTTTTTTATTTTTTTTTTATTATGAATATTATTATTTTTATTATTTTTTATTAATATTTTTATTTTTATTACTAATACTATTATAATTTTTTAATTATTACTTCCATTTGACATTATTTTTGAAAAATATTCAAACTTCATTTTTCACTACAGTAAATAATATAATATAATTTATAATGTTTGTTTATTATCTGTTAGTAATACGTCAAATAAAGAAGTTAGGAAATCGATTATTCTAAATTGAAAAATGAACAATTATTTGTTCCGGGATATTATCAAATGCGTTTGATTAGTTTTCAAAACATTTACTCAATTTAGATTGTCTTTTATAACTATACGATATTTTTCTTTTCTTTTTGAATTAAAAATTAATTCAATTGACGATAGAAGACTCGTGTAGAAACTGATAAATTTTTTGTCATACATATATGTATATAATTATCAAATCATTTTTAATTACGCGAAAGTATTATATTGTATATCTTTCAGTAAAAGAATGTTACCCTTACTCATCGTCTTTTTTCAATTTATTAACATCATTCAGATAGCAATTGTAATAATTATTCATTCTTAATTGATTTTTTATTTAATAAAAATTTCGAAGAATTTAAATTTTTTCTTATTATGATTATATTTTTTATAATTTAATTTAGTGAAATTAATAATTAGTAATTTTATTTACACTATTTTAATTTCACTTAAAATTTTTTTTTAATTTTTCAAATTAGTAATTAGTAATTAGTAATTAAATTAATTAGTAATTTAATTGAAGAAAAACGATAATGATTCTCTCTAAATTTGAATTAGTAAACTAATAAATTAGTAGAAATTACTATTTTTCGCGTCTGAATTAGTAACTTTTACTAGAAAAAAAAATTTAGATCCTCTTCTCTTATTAGGAGAAACTATTTATTTATAAATATATATATATTTACTATTATTATTAATTTAATAATTAAATATTCATTTAAATAATAAATTACGTAAATTAAAATAATTCAAATCTGTTAGAAAAGTATTTTTCACTTGTAAAATATAATTTTTAAATTAAATACAAATTTATTGACTTATTTAATATGATGCTAGTTAGACTAAAGTCTAAAATAACAAACATAAACTAGGTAGCAGATTTATTAGTGTCTAAAATTAGTGATCGCAAAATAAAAGTAAAAGTACTTAATGAGGAATTGAAAAAAAGTTAGTACAATGAAGATTTGCTTCTCTATATAAACTATAAACTCTGCTATAAATAGAGTTTCCTCCTATAATTAGTTCAGTAATAATTAAATAATCTATAAAAAAAAAAAAATTTAAATTTATCGTTAGCGGAGTCATTTAAAGAACAATTTGAAATATAATTAAATAAATAAAAAATAAATTTAATGTAATTTTTATTCATTTATTTTTTATTTATTTATCTCTTAAATTGTTTTTTAAATAAATTAATTTCTCTAAAGATTTGAACGTTTAAATAAACTAAATATTTATTTTTTAAAAATATTTTTAATTTTTATTATAATAGGATATGTTTGTGTTAGATTTATATTGATTAAAAGTTTGTTTTTAATTTAGAAATTTAGAAACTTTTTTATGTTGTATTCTGTTACTTCTAAGAATTACGAGAAATAAAATGGCAGAGGACAAATAAAACAGCTGATCCAATTGAAATTTTATAATTCGTCTAAATTCCAAATTAAACGGAATTATTGATGATTTTTTTTTAAAACAATTTTTCCCAATGGCAAGAATATGTAAATGAGAAAAATATCGTCGTTCACTTAAACGTTCAAAATTTTAAGGAAATAAATTCACTAATGGTTAATTGTAATTTAGTTTATTCTACATTATAGATAAAAGGAAAATATAAAAAATACTCTTCTTCTGCAAAAAAAAAAAAAAAAAAAATTCGATTCAAAATTTGCAAAAGAAAATAAAATTTAAAAACGAAAGCAATCTGTTTAAGCGAAAAGATGACTCATTATTTTCCACAAACATCAAAATATCAATTTGGAAATTTCAAGTTGACGAAAAATCAACAAACTTTACAATACTTTTCCAAAAAAGAGATCAAAATCTGATGAAATTTATCTTCGCTTCACAGAACAGCTCAAATAGACAAATATTTTGCATCTCTCGCTCGAATCTATTTCATTTGCATATCTCTAAAATACGATAACATTGAAAAATTATTATTGTCACATTTGAATTTCAATATAATATTATTTTTGTTTATTTTTGCAGTGAAAAGATTTTCTTTTTTAAAACAAGAAAAAGGGAAAAATGTTTTATCAATTTTCTGATGTAAAATCTCACGTTTTCCAGCAATATACTATCAATAGCTTGAAAAAAGTTTATGCAGACTGAAGAAACAAGTAGAATAAAGATATTCGTCATTCAACTTGAACTATATGTGACAGACAGGCTTTAACAGAATCTAAAGTACAATTGCGATAAAGTCATTCCGGCTTAAGTGTTTATTGTTCCCCATCCGTCTCTCCACGTACCTCTGAAGAGCTTCAACAAGAGGTATAAAGTCAGTTCAAAATCAACACTGGTTAGTATAGCTTTGCGGAAAGAATTTTCCTCATTAACATCGCGTGTGTTTGTGTGTCTTCGAAAATTATAATCTTCTTCCAAAACAAAAAGAAAATCAGTGCGCGTGTTATCGAGAAAAGAAAAGAAAAATTGGAGGTCAATTTTCACAAAAAGAAAAAAAAACATTTATTCTTTTTTTAACTATTTTTTCCAATTTGTATTTATCAAGAGACACTTATGAATACTATTTATGACTTTCCGGAGTCTCTGCCTTTTACAAGGGCAAGAACCACTCTCGATTATCTCACAGAAGAAGAAGTTAGATTCAGTCGATTGTTAAGCAAACGCACTTTCTGCTCACGAGCAAAATTTGCAATAAACTAGTCTCAAAGAGAGCAATATTTTTCCAATTTTTCATGGCTGTGCTTTCATCAAATTCACTTTATTCTTATCGTATAGAATTATTATTATTATTCATCTCATGCCTAATGCTTTAGTTCATTAATTAAAGCAAATGAGGGCGAATTATTTCACTTCGAATTATGAGGAAAAATTATTCATAGAACTTTTCCCTTAAAAAGTACATTCGTATTAGATATTTCATTCGTATACGATTTTAAAAATCGTCTTTTTAGTTTTTGAAAATTTAAAGTAGAAAGAAAATTTTTCGAAGAAGAATTTTCATTATTGAGAGAATTATTGAAAATTATTGAGGAACAACGTAAAATTTTGGATTATCGCTAGAAAAGAAATATTTATTTTGAAACGAAAATCTCCAAAGAAATTTTTTATTTTATCTTGCAAAAATGACGATGCTTAATTGCTCCGTTGAAATAAAAGTCGACAATAAAAAGTTTTCCTTTAAAACGTGTCACCTTTTGCAGAAAATCGGAAAGTGGTTTCAGAATCTTCGACTTAAATTGCAACGTTCTATGGAGTCGCTAAAAAGTAAGAAATTCAGTTCTTTTCTAAATTTCTTCCGTACAAAAATTAAGAGAATTAAAAAAATAGAATATATAAAATAAAGTAAAAAGAATGAATGAACAAAGTTTAATAGTTTTCTCTTTGAATTTAAATTTTGTCACAATAACTATATTATGTCAAGTGTTAAAAATTAGTTTAGAAAGTTTGAAAATGTTTTATTTACTTTTTGGTTTTTGAAAATATTTATAAGCGCCGTACCCGACTTTGACGAGTATAATATTGAAAGATTTTTAAAATGTTGAACTTTATATTACACCCAAATATACCAAAATACAAATACTTCTTTTCTTTTTCAATTCTATAAAGAATTTTATTTTCTAAAATGTATTAATCAACATTTTTTCTCCCTAAGCACTAAAATCAATTAAAATTTTTTATAATTAAACCTCAAACAAAAAAATTTAATTAATTTTCGAGAAACATTAAAAAAGTTTTTGAGTTTGCCCTGTTTTATTAAAATTAACATAATTTTTGAATGTGATATCTTTCTAATAGTAAAACGAAAAGAACATTAAAATATTTCAATTATTTTAAGAATTATATTAATTTTAACAAAACAATGAAAATTCAACAATTTTTATGATTTCATTTTTAAATATAAATATGATGGTTTTATTGTAGAATAATTTTTTAACAAATTTTAATTCATTTATTAGATTTCTTTCACAGAAAAATTGTATTTCTTTTTTAAAATTTATTTATACTATTTTCTAAGTTGTCAATAAAATAGATTTAATGATAATAATTTAAAAATTGAAGCCAAAAAAAATTATAGTACATGAACTTCATTAAAGAATTAAACAATATTTAACCGACCAAAAAATTGAAAAAAAATTTCAAACCAACAATTTGGTTTTGGCTTATAAATTCAGATTTGTTTATTTTTAAATTTTATATTTTATATTTTCGAAAATATTTTGTTCATTTGAATGTTCTGGAAATTTAAAATGCTTTTTATTCTTCGCCTAAATTTGAAAATAAAAATTTCAAACTTAGACGAAGAAAAAGAAACATTCCAAATTTTCTGAACGTTCAAGTGAAAGAATATTTTCCAATTATAAATATTTAAAAATTTAACACGTGACACAATAGTATTGGGGTAAAATTTAAATTTAAAGAGGAAGTTAATAAATTTCGTTTATTTGAATATGTTCAGAACTTTGGGGACACAAACAAAACTAAAAAAGGCATTTTTATTTTAGTTATCAAATTTTTTCAACAACTTTTTCATATTTCGGTAAAGAAAAATGAAAAGTCATTTTTATTTTAGTTATCAGTTCCGTGATTTAGCATATCGTTATGCTAACACGATAAAACATGATAAATATAGCAATTTGAATGTTAAAATACAGTCAACAAAATTTTATCTCCTTCTCTCCTGGTTTAAAAAAAATATTGCAGAAAATATCGAAAACTATAGAGTGACTTGTAAAAAGCTGTAGAAAAACAGTAACAAACAGTAAAAGTTTTTACTAAAACTGTAAAATACAGTAAAAGATAGTAAAAAGAACAGTAAAATACTGTAAAAACCTATAAAAAAGAAAAATATTCTAAATGAACAATTTTATTTTCAGCACCTCCAAGATTGCAATCGTTGAGGAATCGAGACGCTGGTGGCACAGGATCATCAATAAGAACATACGCCCTTCAACTTGCTTTGGATAAAAGTACAACATTCTCGCAGAATATTGAAAATTTCATTCAATGCACCAAGGAGGGAAAGGAGGCGAGTCCTCATGTTGTCATGAGGAATATAAGACAATTTATGTCGGGAATGAAGAATTATTTAGTGAAACATGGCGAGAGAGAATTTGAGAAGGAAGTCGAGAAGGAGAGACTTAAACTAAAGGCCAATGAATTTCTCAATTTGGATGCAATTTTAGAGGAAGTAATGATGAGTCTTGTTGTGCGTCCACTTCGTGAGCATGTCTATCGATTATTTGTCGATCATTATGCAGCGAATGAATCCCTTAACACACTTGCTGAGAGTATTCAATTCGCCCAAGCGAAGCACATTCAGGATCTTGGAGTGCGGGTGAGAAATTTACTATATTTTCATTGGAAAATATTGCAAAATCAATGGCAAAAAGTAAAATCAAACTACAAAAGCATTATGCAAAATCATAATCAATTAAAACAAACTCAATCACAGTTTATCTCAATTTTTGATATCCTTAGAAACACTGTGAAATTACAAAATTACCAATTAATTCGAAACCATATTTTTGTAATTATTAATTATATTTACAATTATTAAATAATATTTTCTCTAAATTTGAATTAGCATGAAAATATTTACTAACTTTAATTATCGACTCACTGTTCGTTTTTGAAATTGTAAATTTTACTAACAACTAATTATGTTTTGAATTATAAATAATACTAGCAAGACTTCTAACTTCTTACTACTTTTTAAAAAATAAAATTAGCAATTTTAAAAATAATAGAATTTAAAAATTTTCTAATTTAAATTTTTGTTGAAAACACTAAAAAAATTCAATTTTGGAGAAATTACAAATAATTGCAGAAATTCAATTATTTAAAAAAAAATAAAATAAAATTCTTCTTATAAAATTCAACTATGTTCAAAATTTGAAAAAAATTCTCGTAAAAATCCCAATTATCTTTAGAAATAACAAAATTCTTCTCCAAAGTTCCATTATTTTCATAAACGTCAAAAAAATTCTTGCGTCCTAATTTCAATTATTTTCAAAAATTTTTCTAATTTCAATGATTTTCAATATCTACTATTTTAATAAAATTTCCCAAAAAGAATTCAATTATTTAAAAAAAATTTTAATAAAATTGTATGCAAACATTCGATTATTTTCATAAATAATAAAAATTTCACAGGAATTCGATTATTATTTTCATAAAAAATAATTTTAAATTCTAAAAAATAATAATTGAATTAAAATGATTAAAATAATTTTGATGAAGTTACAAGGTAATATTCTTATAATATAAAATAATGATTTTATCTCTCGGTCATCTTTAATTATTATAAAACATGAAGAAATCGATCACTCCGAGTCTTCGACTCGGAGCAATCGATATCTTCATGTCTTATAACAATACTTTTATAAGAAGTTTAATTTAAAAAAGGTTTGAATTTGAAATTTTTGAATGTCTTAATTCCTGTGGAAAATCCTGTTCCGAAAATAAGATTAAAAATAGTAATTTTGCAAATAGTTTTTTTTTCTATAGCAAAATAATAATTTTGTTAAAAACATTGTGATTCATAAACAAAAATAATGCAAAATAAATAAATTTTCTATTTCTTAATCACAGTTGTTTAACAATTTTCTAATTTTGTTTAGAAGTAAAGAGCAAAAATCTGCATAATTTCAATTTGACAAAACATAATATTTAACAAAATTTTAGTCTTTTAATGAAAAGAAGTGAATAAAATTCTGATGATTTCCATTTGTCATTTAAATTTTGAATTAATTATAAAATAAAAATAATTATAACATAATAATATAATATACAATCTATCTAAAGATAACAAAAAACAAAAGTATAAACATTAATTGCTAAGAATTCGAAAAATGATTTGTAATTTTTCTTACAGCCGAAGATCATTCCACCATCGGAGGCAAATTTGGAACGAATTCTAAAATACATTGAACGTCTGCAAAAAGTTGATTCACCTCTGGACAAATTAGAAAATCTTCTTTCGGGCATTTCCGCAATTTTCAATTCCGTAAGTTAATTTCATTGAAGAAAACAATTTTTTTTCAATTCTAAGAAACCAAAAATAGAACTTTCTAAATTTAAATTAAATAAAAATAACTAATCTGATAGTAAACTGACAGTCACTGATGTAAATAGTGAAATTAGTTATTTCCTACCAATAATTAGTTATTTTTTATCTAATAATTAGTTATGAATAGTAAAATTACTATAGTAATTAATTAGTGATTTTTTACTAATAATTAGAAATGTTTTACTAATTGCTGAAGCAAAAAATTATTCCCATTTTTACTGATAATTAGTTATTTTTTACTAATAATTAGTTATTTTCTACCAATAATTAGTTATTTTCTATCTAATAATTAGTTATTCTCTACTAATAATTAATGACTTTCTACTAATAACTAGTTGTTTTCTACTAATAGTAATTAATTATTTCCTACTAATAATTAGTTATTTCCTACTAATAAGGTATTTTTTGCTAATAATTTGTTATTACTAACTAAGTACTGAAGGAAAAAGTCAGCCAAGATTTTACTATTAGTTATTCCCTACAAATATATTGGTTATCTTTATCTATAAAACAAAAAGTCAGACAAAATTTGAATCTGAATCTAAATTAGTTGAAAGAATAACTAATTATTTGCAATTATTTATTCTTTTAACTAATTCAGATTTAAAAAGTAACGAAAGTAATTCGAACTATTCGAGACAAAATAAGGAAAAATTATAACGAAAATTTTTGAAAATAGGTAAAGCAATCGAATTCTGGTAGACATGTCACCTTGGGAGCAGACGATTTGCTTCCCCTTCTCGTTTGGGTTTTGGTTCAAGGAAGAGTAATTGACGCTGAAATTGAGGCCGAATATATGTGGGGCCTTTTGCATCCATCTCTCCTCACCGGGGAAGGTGGATATTATTTAACAACTCTCTCAAGCGCTGTGCACGTTCTCAAAACATTCAAGTCTAGTCAGGGAACTATGTCCACATTAAATGTAAGTAAAAGTATTTTTCAAATTTTCCAAAAAAAAAACACTATACGAGAAAATCTTTTGAAAACCTTTTAAGTTTTATTAGTACTTTGATTTCCTTCTGAACTTTGCATCGGATTACAGTTAAAATTTCGAAAAATCAAACTAAACTTTATTGAAAAAGAATATCTCAATTTCCTCAAGGGTAAACGGATTTAAAAAATTTGTTAATTTTAGCCAATTTAATTAAAAAAATTTTTTCGAACTCGATTGGAATATTGGATATAAGGAAAATCTTCCCTAAAAAGTAAAAAGAAGGGAATAATTCAAAAGAAAGAAAAATACCCTGAGAAATTAAAAATTAACGAAAGTTTTTTAATGCGATTGAAACCAATTTTTCACAGGGTTGCGGATCGCCAGACTGTTCATCAGTTTTACGAATCCTAGTTCCAGACGAACTTCACGGTTCTTTAAATACAAAAACACTTCCCGTTCGACCAAATATGAGCACACGAGACGTTTGTCGCATACTCGCGCATAAAATAAGATGTACAAATCCCCAGGATTATGGCCTCTTTAAACTTGTTCAAGGAGAAGGTGACATATTATTTTCCTAATAATATTTTCAAAATTGTCTCTATATCACTACTTATATATGAAAACGTTTAGTAATTAAAAACAACATTTTAATAATATTTAATAATAATATTTTAATAATAAATTAGCTATCACACTTTAGGAACAATAAAATCAAATAAATAGAATTTCAGAAACAAAAAATAATAACAATAAACAAATAATTAAATAACAATAATAATATAATAATAATTCGATCGTAAATTTTTATAAGATATTTTAATAACAGTAATTAATATTTAAAATTTTAATATAAGATAATTATTTAAAAAAAATTATATTTAGGTTTTATAAATTATAAATATTTTCAAATAAAATATACTACTTAGCATAATTTATAATTAATTTTAAAAAATTATAGTTTTCGTTTTTAATAATAATAATTAATAATTAATAATTTTTTAATTTTCAGAAACTTTACTCGGCGATCAAGAATCACCTCAAGAACTCTCTCATTGTTTATTTGCATTCAAGCGAATAGACGCAAAGATTGCTTGGCCAAAAACCAATTCATGAACAATTAAAAACCGTTCTCAGTACTTCTTTTTATAAGCTTTAGCTCAGGGTTGCGGCATTGTTACGAAAAAAGAAAAATAATTACACATCTAAAAATTGAATTTCAAACTTTCAATGATTATTTAATACAACAACAATAGAAAAACGAGTGTCAAAGAAATTTCCATTTTATATCTGTGAGTTCAGTCCAATAATAAAATTCTCATCGTTTATGATAATAAAGATTAAAATAAAAAGAAAATCTCAAAAAAATTTGGTGCCTCGAAAAATATTTTTTTTTTAAATTTATTTAATAAATAAAAATTACAAAGAAATATTTTTCAGAAAAAACTTGAGAACATTTTTTTTTTCTTTTTTCTCTTAAAAATAATAATTATAATCAGAAACGAATTGTGAATTTTATTATCGGAGTTCATCAACCTACATTGTATTTAAACTTATATATTAACGTTTGAACGCAATCTTCCGGAAGTAATTAATAATCTAATATGTGAATATGAATAGTTGTATCGCAAACTACAAGGAAATCTATTTTATCGATAAGTAATTGATCCAACTATTAATATCAATACTTAAAAAGAAGATAATATATATTTCTCTACATGATATCATTACTCAAGAGATAATATAATATTTCTTTTCACGATTACCTATCGATTTAATAAAAAAGAAAGAAAAAATCCATGATACGAGCGATCATAAATCTTGTTTTCTTTTCTTTTTTTTTGTGGAAAACTTTTATAAGTACGCGATTAATATATTTACACTGCGATTAAATTCAATGTCACGATATTTAATTTTACGATTACAATGAAAAAAAGGTAATTTTTTAAATATATTTTTAATACCTTTATCGGTATTTATAGTAAAAATTGCATTTTACACAAAAAAAGAAAAATAAATAAAAATACATTTTTTAAAAATGAATCAATCAGAAAAGCACAAAACTCTTGACGAATATTGTGCAATTAAGTTTCTTCGATAAAATTCCAAGAAAAAATTATATTTTAAAAAAGTAGCAGTTGAAAAATTGTAACAAGATTTGTTTAAAAATCATAAATAATAGAGAATATCAAGTATTTGAGAAATCTGCTCACTCAATCAGTATTCTAATTTGATGAGAAATTTTGAACTTGAGATAATTAAATTATACTCGTGTTCGATAAAACCTAATATGTAATGTTAAGAATTTTTTGTTCTTCGTGAGAAAAATTGTGAATCAACGATTTATATATGTATATGTGAAATGAAAATTTAAAAATCTTGATAAAAATTAAATTAAAAAAAAAATAGTCTCGAAAATAAACAAATTTTTGGATAAATGAAAAAATTTGTAGAAATATATAGAAAAAAAAAAATTCGGAAGACTAGTTTAGGAATCTATTTTAAGTACTGTCTGTGGAGAAGTGACGAACTATAGAAATTCGTGTCAAAAAATATTGTATTTTACACGAAAGAATCATATTTAATGGAAATTGTATACATTTAAAAGAAAAACTCACTAAACAATTTTATATATATATATATATATATATTATATATATGGAAAAAAGAAATAACACCTCTTTAAATTGGACCAGGCCATGGCTGATTTGGCCCCCACACACAGAAGTAATCGAAAATATATTTTCAATTTAGAGACTGTCGTTAAACTAAAATGTAGAGATGATGTTTATTATTTTAATTGTTTCGATTTACTTAAAGATTTTATATATAAACATAAAAATAATATTATGCAAGTCAGCCATTTGTTTTTATAATGTAAAAATCGAGTTAACATCTCGATGACGAAAAAATGATTTTTAATGAGGAATTATTTATCATTGTTTAATAATTCTTCTTTGAATGCTTGTAAAAAAAATTATGTATTTTAATTTTTAATTGTATATTTTTTTTGTAGCTAATTTATTAAAAAAAAAGTTTTTTATTATTGTTCATTTTTTATGTGATGATTTTCATCGGATTCCTCGAGATATATACATGCTTTATTTTCTCTTCAATTAATACAATTGAAAAAATGTTATTGCTTCTAATATGCTAGTCAAGTCAATCGAATGTACTGTTTAAGCGTAAGTTCGGCAATAGTTTTATCTGTTATAAAACCATATGTCGTTAATTATCATTAGTATCATCAACATTTTTATCATTATTACAATTAAAAAAAACATGTAATTCTATGCTCAATAAACAATTTTCTATAATTCGAATAAAAATTTAGTTTCACCCTTAATCCATTCACATTCTTTAAAATACGAGAAAAAACTTACAATTACTCAAAAACATCAATAGTTTTATTCAAAATAAATATTTAATTAAATAATAATTTTCAAATTTAAAATATTTAATTATTATTATTTTTCCGATTTTCAAATTCAAACTTAACAACTTATCAAAATTTTATTGTAAACCATGAAGATATCGGTTACTCCGAGTCTTCGACTCGGAGTGATCGATTTCTTCATGTTTTATAATAATTTAAATTAGCACCGTCAAATTTTTTTTTTAAATTTAGTTATTTACAAAAATCTTAATAAAATCCTTCACCAGAATTAAATTATTTTTACAAGTAATAAAATTTCTCAAAAGAATTCAATTATTATTATATATATTATATATATTATATTATTATTATATATATTTAAAAAAAATTAATACAATTCGTTGCAAGAATTCAATTACCAGGGTGTCCAGCGATTCTTCAAAAAAAATTCAAAGATTTTCAAGGGTTTTCAAGGTCCAAAATAATTTTTTTCAAGGTCCATTTTTAGGATACTAATTTTCAAAATATTTGTTATTTATAATCAAGTATAATAGTGTATTTCAAGTAAATTTTTACTTACTGTCTAAATTTGAATTATGTAGTAAAAATTATTACTAATTTTATTTAGTGAATGACTTTTTGCTTTTGAATTAGTAAATTTTACTAATAAATAATCATTTCTACTAATTTTTTTAAGTGAAATTTACTATAATTAAAAAGCAAAAACTCAGTCGCTAATTCAAATTAGTAAACATTTTTACTAATTCAAATTTAGAGAGTACTTAACTTATAAACAATTTTATAATTTCTACATACAACCGTTATTCATAAATAACTTTAAATACAATTTATTAATAAAAAATCAGAAATATAAAGAACATCGATTTAAGAAACATCAGTCAAAATTATTTTTAAATAATTAAATTCTTTTGAGAATTTCTATAAAATAATTGATATACAAATTATTGAATTAAGAAACATTTTTGAAAATAATTGAAATTTTGCAATGAATTTTATTATTTGAAAATAATTGAATTTTATTACTTTTGAAAATAATTGAATTACTGCGAAGAATTTAATGGCAAATTTTAAAATAATTGATTTTTGCAAAAAAAAATTATGAAAATTCTATTTTAAATAATTGAATAAATGTAAATTTTTTTTTAAATAATTGAATAAATGTCAATTTTTTTTTTTAAATAATTGAAAGTTTGTGTAGAATTTTTTAAAAACTTTTCTTTAGGTAATTATTAAATTCTTTCGGGAAATTTTATTAAAATAGTAGAATATTGAAAACCATCGGAGTAAGAAAATTTTTTGAAAATAATTGAAATTTTGCCATGATTTTTATTAAAATTTTTGAAAATATTTGGATTCTTGTGATGAATACTATTATTTACAAAAATAATTGAATTTTGCAATGAATTTTTTTTTAAATTCCTCAAAATAATTGGAACTTTGTCGAAGATTATGGTTATTTATTTCTAAAGATAATTTAATTGTTTGACCACAATTTTTTAAATTTTTTGAAAATAATTGAATTTTTGCGAAAAAGAATAATTGAATTCTTGTGGTGAATATTGTTATTTATGAAAATAATTGTAATTTCGGCGAAGATATTTTATATTTATAAAGATAATTGAAATGTTGAAGAGAATTCAACTTAAAACATCAAGAAAATAAATCGCATTTTTAAGAATTTTAATTTTTCAAGGTTTTGTCATAAAATTCAAGGTGTTTTAAAGGTTTTCAAGAAGAAAAAAAATTCAAGTACTTTTCAAGGTTTTTAAGGTTTTTAAGGTTTTTAAGGTAGCTGGACACCCTGATTACTTTATCATAAATAATAAATCGATTACATATTCGGAAAATTCAGTTTTAAATTTTTAGCTAAAATTCAATTCAATTATGAATAATTAAATAATAATAAAAATAATTTAATAATTTATAAATCAATTTTGATTAGAAAATTCTAAAAAAATTTAATTATTTAAATACAAAAATAAATAATTTATTGAATAATTGAATGTTTGTTAAAATTGAATTCTCATAAAGAATTTTAACAACAAATTTTAAAATAATTGAATTCTTTTGACAAATTTTAATAAAACTTTAAAAGAATAATTACATTTTTCGAGGAAATTCATTAAAATTGTATAAAAACTAATTAAAATCCTTGCGATGAGTTTTATTATTTATCAAAATAATTAAATTCCTGAGAACAGTTTTATTATTTATAAACATAATTGAATTATTGTGAAAACATTTATAAAATTATAAAATAATTTAATAATTTATAATAAAAATTATAAATTTATAATTGAAATCCTGGGAAAATGTAATTATTTATAAAAATAATTAAATGTTTGCGTAGAATTTTATTAAAATTTTTTTAAATAATTGAATTGAATTTTAGCTAAAAATTTGGCTTTTTATAAAGATAATTAAAATCATGACAAGAATTTTTTTATTTTTTAAAAATAATTGAATTTCTGAAAAGAATTTTATTACTCTTGAAAATAATTTTATTCTCGTGACTAATATTGTTATTTATGAATATAATTGAATTTTGCAAAGAATTTTATTTAAATTCTTGAAAGCAATTAAATTTCTGGGAAGAATTTTGATATTTATGAAGATAATTAATTTCTTTCTAAGAATTGTGTTAGAATTTTGGAAATAGTATTAAATACATAATTAAAGAATTCAACCAAATAATTTCAACAGAATTAAAATTAAAATTGTATGAAAAATAATTGAAATTCTGCGATGAGTTTTATTATTTATGAAAATAATTGAATCCATGTAAAAAATTTTATTTATGAAAATAATTGAATTATTGAGAAGAAATTTATAAATAATTGTAAATACAATTAAATTCCTGTGACATTTTTATTATTTATGAAAATAATGAAACGTTTGCGTAGAATTTTATTAAAATTTTTTTTAAATAATTGAATTTTTTCGAAAAATTTTATTAAATAGGTGAAGAATATTCAAAATCACTGAATTGAGAAAAATTTTTGAAAAGAATTGAAACTTTGCCATGAATTTTATTAAAATGTTTTAAAATAATTGAATTTCAGAGAAGAATTTTATTATTTACAAAAATAATTCAAATGTTAACGAGATTTTTTTTTAAATTTTTGAATATAATAATTGAATTTCTGCAATTATTTATAACTTCTCCAAAATTCAATTTTTTTTAGTGTCTTTAACTAAAATTTTTCTATAAATGCATTATTTTTAATAATTAATTAAATATAATATATTAAAAAACTTAACTAATCTCAGAAGAATTTGAATTATTAAGATTCTTCAAGATTCTATGTTTTTTAAATTTTCTAATTAAATTCATTCCAAATTGAAATTTTATAAAATATAAAATTAAAATTTTTTGAAGTTCATCTATTTATAAAAATTGTAAACGCAAATCATTTAAAATTCAATTCATTTTGAAATGTTTAAGCAAAATTATTCATTAAACAATTTATAAGTAATAATTCTATGTAAATTTCTTTGTAAATTCAACTTTTCTACATGAACACATTTTTTCCGAAAATAATGTCAATTGATGTACATTTCTATAAACAATAATAATTGTTTATATTTTTTTTCTTATTCAGGAAAAGTTCTTGAGATAGTAAAAAAATTGTTTTAAAATTTTAGAAATTGTAAAATGATGTTTAAAATGTTATATACGTATGTAAAAAGTTGTTTCCGAAAATATATTGTACACGTAAAATAAATATTTTGGTTGCAATTTTTGATTAAGTGCTTTATTTGATATAAAAAAATATATTTTTATTGCTAATTAAGTATTCTTTCTATATTTCATTTTATCTATATGAGTGAAATTTTGAAATTAAATTTATTGTAATTTATCAAACAAAAGTATACAAATGATATATATATTCGCGAATTAACAATTAACCTGAAATTTGACAATTAATTTTTGTTGATCGAAAATTGTAATTTTAATTTATATGAAAGAACAAATAACATCAAATCTTAAAACATCATTTTAAGTATAATAGATGGAAGGCAAAATTAAATAAAAAACGACTCACTTTTCGATGAATTCCATAAATTGGTTTACTTTTCTTCTTCCGCAATTCTGTTTCTTTCTTCCGAATAACACAAAAGGAAATGCGTGGATACGTAAATCATTAAACTCCATTCTGATCCAAACATATTTTCCGAAAATCCTTTAACTCTCTTGATTATTACCCCAAGCGATTTAATACATCACCCCATGGACAATAATATTTATTTTTCTTTTTTATTCGATATTAAATTTTAAAAACATTTTATTCTTCTTCGGTGTTTTAAGTTTTATAAATAAAAAGCCATCTAGCTGAACTAATATGAATTGCAACATTGCAAGTTTGAGTAGTTTACGTTTTTACCACTAGATATCTACGATATCTTGTTTAGCAAAATGATGTTAAGTTTGCAATGACAAAAATTTAACAAAATATTTAATTTATCCATTATTTTTTCCAAAATTGTTAACTAGTTAGGTGAAAATAATCTTGGGAAACAGTTTTGACAGTTAACAATAATAGATGTTTGACAAAAACGCGATACATTGTCAATTCTATACGCCATTTATAAATTGACAAATATTGTCTTTTCTTATTCTTTTTCAAAAAACTTTTACGATTTAATAATTATTCGAGCAAAGAAAAACTTGAATATTGCAAAATATTGTTAATTAACATTTAGATTTACCAGGTCTTCAAGGATTTATAAAGTTTTCCGAATTGGCACTTTTTCACCTTCTGTCGTCGACATTGTACTAAAATGGCCGCCGACTACTGTTGCCAACACTGTAGAAACAAATAATCAAATTCCCCACTTGTATCGAATAAAAATTATACGGCATCCAATTCTTTAATTACTTTAAGTAATCACTGCGTTAAAACAATAATTTTCAAACAATACAATAAGTTTAACTTGTTTAATTTCAAAATCAGTGGAAACGTGTTGACGTCAGAACAATCTGGACAGAACTGAAAGTTCCTTTCATCACTTCAAGATGGCAGCAACAATGAATGATTCTGATTGGTGGAAATTTTAAGCCCCGTACATGTGAATACTACCTTACCGACCTTACGTTTCTATCGCACTTACATTACAATACAAATTTTATCTCATTTTACGTAAAAATAAATATAAATAAAGTAAATTACGTATAATTTCGGTAATTTGTAAATTCACATATTTTGATCAAGGGCATTTATTTATTCATCTTTAAACCATGTTAAAAACACCGGTTCCTATATTTACTATTAAAGAAATGAAAACAGTGCTAAATATCTAAACGAATTTCAATTTCATTATATCAATTAACATTGTTATGTAATGCGCAAAATCGAGAATTAAACAAAAATACATGTATTTAATCTGCGTGTGTGACGTCTAATTATGCTGCGTCAATCATAATGGCTCCAAGCCAAAGAAACATGGAAAGCAGCAAGAACATGAAACATCGAACTGAGGAACTTGCATAAACTGGTCTGACTGGATCTGCTTTTACAAGTGTACTTTTGGTAAAAACAAATGGCTAACGTATGATGCGTAGGTGGTGTGTGTTGGAAACGTGGTTAAAAGACGTGTAAAATGTTGTTGAAGAGCAACAAGTCAGAGAAAAGGAATCGGAGATATTATGGAAAAAACACTAAACTTTCTACCGGTAAGTTTATTTTTCATTAATTATCATCTTTAGTTGATAAACAGTGACAATTATTCTGTAAATCTTGCCGTTTGTTTCAAATTTTGCAAATTTTTTCGATACCGCAAATATCAACACAATATGGCTGACACTATAAATATAAATGAATTCAAAAAAAGTCAAAAACTTTTTGTTTTTTGAATTTGTTTCGTTGTACTGGGATTTATTCTGCTTGCCTTTCGTACTATTGAGCGAATTATGTAGTTTTTTAATTTTACTAATCTTAACAATTTTACAACTATTTGAAAATTTAGTCAAATTAAATAATTAAAACAAAAAGGGAAAAAAACAGTTGTAACATAAGAGAATCACGTGATAAATGAGAGTGTCTTGAAAATGATTGTGCGTGTATTTTTGAAGTAAAAGAAAGTTTCTGTTTGAGGTTATGTTTGAATAATTTGTTATTCTTTGTTATATTTTCTGCTAGTGCGTAAAATTGCATAAAATCAAAGTCTCTATCTGTAAAGTATCTGAAGTCAAAAATATGACGTCATAATCAGTATCTTAACATCGGGTTTAATGCATCAGTGTTCTTATTACGAAATACACTTATCTACGATAGTGCCCGGTCACTGTACCTTTTAATATGCTGATGGGAATTCTTAAAACATATTCGCATATAATCACTTATTTTTCGTGTCTAGATGATATTAATTAATTTAAGTCGAGTGATTGTTTACTCAATTGTTAAGTAGCTGATTAAATACAAGTTATCTAATTGGAACAGTGATGTAAGATTTGTAAAGTCGATATGGGAAAAATTATTCCATTTTCTCACATCTTTTCATATGGTAAATATTTCTTGAAAAACAATTTTTACCCTTTGCACTCTTTTTCTACCAACTTCCTCTTTTTTCTCTCCAGTTACAATTTACAATTACATTTTAGATTTTTACAATGTAATATAATTTTAGATCAAAAATATCAATTTTTGGATAATTTAAAAGACTTAATTTTTTAACTTTTAGTAATACTTATTTATCATAAATAATAATAATAATTATTATTATTATTATTATTATTATTATTATTATTTTGTTATTATTATTATTTTTTATCTTTATTTTTATTAATTATTATTACTATTATCATAATTAGACACGATAAAATTTTTTCATTTAGTACAATTAATTTATCGAAAAAAAAAATAATTGTCATAAGTTTCTTTATTCGTTGTTTATTAATTTTATATATAGTTTAGTTTTTATCAAATTATAATCAGAGAGAGAGAGAGAGAGAGACGATAATTTATTTATTAAGCTGTGAAATTATTTTTACAGACATTGATCAAAGTTTTAAATTAATTAATTCTCTTGACTGTGTAAGAGAAGAATTTACATAATCCGTTAAGTTCAAGATTTTTTAATACTAATTCCATATTTTTTTGTCACCTTCAATTTAGCAAAATTGTTTTTATAATTAGTCAATAAATTTCATGCCTCATTTCGCTTTTTTTTGTCGTCGACATTGAAAAAAAATCGGAATATTCAAATGTCAAATAAATAGTAAACGAAACTTTGAGTTAATTTTTTTTTCTTCATTTTACTGAATATATACAAAATATATAGTTGTTATTCAATTTTGTTACAAGCAGAAAATTTATTTTAAATTCTCTTGCAAAATTAATGTAAAATACTACAAAAGCAAATATGGAGATGAATTTATTAACAATAAATTGATTACTAAAGAAATTTATTATTAAAATTATTGAATATTATATTATTTATTAACTAGCTAAAATCCTCCCCCCCCCCCAAAAAAAAACAATTTTTTATAAAATTTGTGATTATAAAGTAGAAATTATAATAACTTTTTCCATTTATTTCACTTAAAACTTAATTTAGGTACATTTTTTTCATTAATTTAAAAAAAAAAATTATTTCTTTAAAAATTGAGATTAAAAAATAGAAATGGCAATTTTTTTTACAAAAAAAGCAAAAAAAAAATGTTGTTAAAAACTGTCATTGACGAATAGAATTTTTTTCTATTATTTTATAAAAATATTTTAGAAATTCTCAGTTTTATTTTTAATTAAAAATTTTGATTGACAAATCAAATTTATAAATATTCTTTTTTTTCGAAAAAAAACTTGAAATTTTGTTAAAAAATGTTTAATTAAAACGTAGTTATGGTGCAAATTTTACAAAAATCTTTTAAAAATTTTCAGTTTTATTTTCAATTTATTAAAAATTTTGTTTAGCGAATCGAATTTATAAATATTTTTTTTCTTTATTTCTGAAAAAACTTGAAATTTTGCTAAGAAATGTTTAATTGAGAAATAGAATGGGTGCAAATTATTATTTTCTGCAAAAATAAACAAAAAATTTGAAGAATAAAGAAATAGAAATTATGCAAATTTTTTTTATTAATTTCTAAAAAGAAATTTTCTAATTTAAAAAAAAACTTTTTAAATTCTTTAATTAATTTTTTCTCTTAAATGAAACTTATAATTTTGTGAACAATATTTATTGTTATTGAGAAACAGAAAATATGCAAAATATATTCTCCATTTCTTGTTAATAATATTTTTCAACAATTTTCTAACATTTTTTATAAATAATGAAAAAAATCTGTCAAATAAGGTTTTTTATAGAATAAAAATGAAAAAAATTTGCATTAAAATTTATTGAATTTTTATTGAAATTGAATTAGAATTTGTTGAATTTATTTATTGAACATTAAATTATTAATTTATTGAATGTTATTGGATATTTTATTGAATATTAAATTTATATTTCAATAATTGATATTTGAGGCTCCGGATCTTAAAAGGGCACTTTTACCATTTAAAATCAATGCTGAAAGTGCCCTTTTAAGATCCGGAGCCTCATTTATTGAATTGATTGTTTATTCATTGAATATTAAATATCGAAATATGAAAATAATTCAAAAAATATCTTTATAATATGACAATTTTTTTTATTCAATGTGTAAGTTTCAAAATTATTTAAACAAATTTTTTTTTAAATAAAAATATATTAGTTATAACATTTTTTCGTATTTGCATTATTTTTTTTTTAATTATTATTTCGTAACAGTATTATTACTATTATTATTATTTTTTTGTATTAGTTTATATATTATTTTGAAGAAAAAATAATTGGAGGTCCTTTTGTGTTAAAATCGATGGGTCGAGAAATATATAAATTTCTTCTCGTTTGTTTTTTGAGGCGAGTGGAGTTATAAATTTACGATTCTTTTTGTTAGATTGTTTATGGTATTGATCTGCCCGCGTTTCTTATTCTCTATCCCGTAAGTTTCTCGAATGCTTTATAGTTCAAAGTTCATTCCTCTGCCGTCTGGCTCTCGGCAAATTAATTATTGTACAAACTATCGCGCCAATTAGTGAAGCAATGCCCCCGTTGAAATTTTCCGCTTTCCAGTTTAATATAAATTCCATAATGATTGTATTAAAACAAAGGGAAACTGAATCTCAAAAAAGGTTCTTGTTTACACTCTCTCATATTTTTTTTCCACTTTGGAACAAATTTTCCTTCCTTCTCTTCTTTTTTTTTGATAAAATTATAATATATAAATCTCTGAATTTTACCAAAACGAAAATTTATCAATTTAAGAGAAAATTATTTGAAATTTCTTTTTTTTTTTGCTCAAGGTAAAGTTTAAATGTTTAAAAAAAAATTTTTTTTTCTTTATATGAAATTTGATTTAATAATTAAATTGAATTATATTGACTATAAAAAGACGATATCATTGTGTTCTTAAAATATTGTACCAATAAAAAACAGCTGCAGACAATAATAGTGTGTGATATTAATTCTATTTTCAATGATTGCGCAAATTTAGTGTTCAAATAAAAAAAAAAATTTTTTTTAATCAGTTTTTGTGCCATTTCAAATTCTCTTTTTTTCGGAAATAATAAAAATGTAAAAATATTTGGCGCAAACTAATTTAAAAATACGCCATATAAAAAAAAGAAGTCTCTGATTTATATATTATAGGATATTTTATACCTGCGCTATCTCTGTAATTTCGTTATCTATCTGCCACGTACTTGATTTTGTTTTATTGCAATCAACATCACATGAGTATTTGTCACAGTATACAATAGAAAGACGTACTCTTAATTGTGATATGTTTCACTTTTTTTTAGACAATTGCCCCAATTTTCCTTTCCTTTTTTTCTTTTTATTTCTTAACACTTTCATCAATAATTATTTCAAAAAAT